ATTACAAATCTACGACTCCCAGTCTATGGCTACACGTGCTGTTCTTATCTATAGTCATGCATATTCATAAGCTATGTAGGCGTGTCAAAATCGTATCATACGCGATAATGACCAGCCAGTACACACTGTAATGATTTCATTAACCAGTATTAAAAAGATAAACATAACACTATCAACAAATGACAACAAAATATATCTTTTATATACACAACTTAAACATGACTAAACACCAAAATCAAAATTTAAAAAAATAAACAAGACCAATTATGTTATAGTTCAATGAAAAACAAATATTAAAAAAAGCGATAACAACCTAGTACTGGCATGAGGTTAAATGTATTCTACAATTATATATATCAGTTGCAGATCCAGAAATTTGAAAAACATGCAATTTCTAGAAGGACGTACTTGACAATTTCTTTTAGACATTGACCCTTCAAGTAAAACAAATACAGAAATTTGCTCTATAGATCTCTTTATAAAGTATTATTTTCATTTTTTAAGTCCAGAATTTACAATATATAGTAGTAACTTTATATCTTTATAATGTTTAGTTATTCTTTATATATCATGTATATATGCTAAATTCTTCAACTTTTATTTTGCAGTATTTGAAATCAGTAAATTCAACTTTAAGGACAGCGAGTACAATGACAAACGAAACTAAAAGATACACAGATGTAACACGACAACCTATAGATTACAGAGAAAATTTTTGTTTTATTATTAAATCATATTTTTTTAAATGCTTTGTTTTCAATTCCTAATTTTTTCAACTGAAATTGTTTAAAGATTTGCTGCAATGTTGCTGCAATATTGCAAGAAATTAATTTTCCTGCAATATTGCTGCAACATTGCAGCTAATGAATTTGCCGCAATATTGCTGCAACAATCACAGCTACTGATTTTCCCGCAAACATTTGCCGCAATATTGCAGCAATTTGTTGCGGCAATGTTGCAGCAACTGTTTGCAAGAAAACTAATTTGCATACGAAAAATGAATATTTGCAGCAATATTGCCGCAAATATTTGCAGCAACATTGCCGCAAATATTTGCAAGAAGCCTTATTTTTCCATAAGGGATATCATTATTATTTGCTTTTATATATAAATCAGAAATAACCAATTTAAAATGGAAAATTTCAAAGAAAAAAAATGAAAAAAAAATCCCCCTCCCCCCAAAATTTTTTGAACCCCCTTATGATTCATCACCCTCAAACACAATCCCAGCCTTCCCTTTGTGGTATGGTACCTTGCAGTACATATGATGGACTGTGAAACTAAGATCAGGAGTTTGGGAAATTTTGGTCAGGAGATTAGGACTCAGATCAGGAGGTTTTTAATCGACATAAATTCTGTCATAAATGTAACCGTGTGCTGTAGAAATTGTCTGTTAAAGTGTGCTTTCTTCAACTTTCCATCCGAATGTATTATGTTTATAGTACCCTTGTACTTATAAATTTTCTCAATCTTTTTAAACTTTCAACTTGTTCAATCTAACATTCTTCTTTTTAAGTATGTTCTTTAAATTTTTTAGGTCATATCTTTTTTTCCATTATTCATTGCAATCAGAATATTTGCTTATCTATCTGCAAGTAGATCTTTTATTTTAATCTTTATGCAAGTAGATTTTTAATGCATGATAAGTAACACATTCAAACTGTATTCAAGGGTCATAGTTAATATATAAATTTCAATTTAAGCCTTGAAAGGAAGTATAGAACCCTCAAATAATTTTCAAATTATTATTTTTTTATTTGTCCTAAGACATTTAAAATCATTTAATTACCATCCTTTTATGATTATTTGTTCAATTTATATTTTATTTATATTCTTTTAAAAATTTACATTATTTAAAGGAAAGTAACTTAAAACAGGATAAATCAAGGGAAGTAACCCAACATTCATTTATAAATATACAAAGTTTTATTACACAACGGCAGTTAGCCTGATGTAAAAATCGTTGATTACCAGTATGTTTGACACCCAAGGTGACAAGTGAAGCCATATAATTATCATGTTAATTGATTTACAGGTAAAATATAACTTCAGGTAATGTCAGTTACACCAGATATGTTGGGCTGAAATTTTTCATTCATGAAATATTTCATACACAGGATTTTTTTGTCTTCAACGGGAGGTCGGGAGGAGACCCCTGAAAACGGGATTATTGTATTCCCTTCGGGAGGTTCACATGTATGATTACTGTACAATTTCAGGGAGATCAATACACTTGAACAAAAGTTATTGTCTGGAAACTAGAAAAATGCTTATTTTTTGGCCCCTTTTTGGCCCCTAATTCCTCAAATTTCTAGGGATTTAACCCCAAACTCAAACCCAGCTTTCCCTTTGTGATATGGAACCTTGCAGTACAATTTCATAAAGATCCATACACTTGCACACAAGTTATTGTCCTGAAACTAGAAAAATGCTTGTTTTTTGCCCCTTTATGACCCCTAATTCCTCAAATTTCTAGGGATTTAACCCCAAAATCAATCCCAGCCTTTCCTTTGTGGTATGGTACCTTGCAGTACAATTTCAGAGAGATCCATACACTTGAACAAGTTATTGTCTGGAAACTAGAAAAATGCTTATTGTTGGCCCCTTTTTGGCCCCTTATTCCTGAACGTTGTGGGAAATTACCCCCAAAATCAATTCCAGCTTTCCCTTTGTGATATGGAACCTTGTAGTACAATTTCATAAAGATCCATACACTTACACACAAGTTATTGTCATGAAACTAGAAAAATGCTTGTTTTTTGCCCCTTTTTGGCCCCTAATTCCTAAAATTTGGAGGCAATTACCCCCGAAATCAATCCCAGCATTCCCTTTGTGATATGGAACCTTGTGGAACAATGTCAGAGAGATCCATACACTTACACACAAGTTATTGTCATGAAACTAGAAAAATGCTTGTTTTTTGCCCCTTTTTGGCCCCTAATTCCTAAAATTTGGAGGCAATTACCCCCAAAATCTATCCCAGCATTCCCTTTGTGATATGGAACCTTGTGGTACAATGTCAGAGAGATCCATACACTAACACACAAGTTATGTCTGGAAGTTACAAAAATGCTTATTTTTGGCCCCTTTTTGGCCCCTAATTCCTTAACTGTTGGTACCATAACCCCCAAAATCAATCCCAATCTTCCTTTTGTGGTATTGAACCTTATGGTAAAATTTCATAGAGATCCATTCACTTAAACTGGTTTGATTTCCACAAAGCAGTATATATAACTCATACTTACAAATGTATGTTTTTACTACTAATTAAAGGTTCATAATTAGCTCTTTGTTACCGGTAACCAGCAGAAAAAAAATTAAAAAAGAAGGAAAAAGTGGATGCTTTAATGATAATCAAAATCTCCGTTTATTGTTTTGTTATAAATTTGTTTGAATAGACAACTAGTATTTTCGAAGCAGTTAGTTTTTATATCAACACCAATTTGCTATTCCTTTTTGATTTTTTTTTCAACCGCCTCGGTGGTCTCGTGGTAGCGTGTTCGCCTCGAGTGCGGGAGGTCGTGGGTTCGAACCCCGGCCGGGTCAAACCAAAAACTTTTAAATTGGTATTTGCGGACTGTTATCTTGTGAACTAGCACCTTAAAAACCCGACTCAGCGTGTCGGTTTAGTACAAAGCAGACTAAATATTCATATTATATTAATATGTTCTCGTCCTGATTATGCATATTAATTTGCCGTTGGACGTTAAGCAGCCATCTATCATCATCATCATCTTTTTGAACTTTTGAACATTGCCATGAATATGTAGCTTAGTGTATTTAAGATACAAATTTTATCTTCAAAACATAATGTTAAAAATGATCAAACGATGGCTACTTAATCTTTACAACAAAGAAATGACTCATACTGCTTAAATAAACAAACTCAAGATTTTTTTACCGTACATGTTTCATAAGAGGAAAAGGTTAATGTCCAAGGTAAGAATACCAAAACCCGTTTCAAAAAAGAAAAACACTGGTACTAATATAGACGTTTGACTAGAGACGCCGCCCACGATATCTCCGACAGAGTCCATCATGGACATACGGAGAAATGATTGTAGGTGAAACAGAAACAACGTTTTGTGTTTTTGTAACTTACTTGATCGAATGCCAGTCAAAAAGAGCAGTGGCTATATAAATTTTATCTTAAGAAACACATGAAAAGTTAAAATGTATATAAATGCACGGTTTGTACGCCCACCATATTTTGGTAAAAAGAATTTTGTTCATCTTAGTCAATTGGTAGATTGTGTAACTTCGTTTTTCCACAAGCGCATTCAAACAAACTATCAATATTTACGTGAAACAAATATGTATTAATTTGGATCTAAACCATGACAAATTTGATCAAAACCATGACGAATTTCTAGACACTTAACTGAACCATGTCAATCGCTTAACCAAACCAAAGCAATTTCGATATTTTGGTTATCCCGTGTCTTTAAAACAACAGTTTCAATGTAGATCGTTTGACTTATAATACAGATTCAAACATCTTATTTGCTTTGTATTTGCTCATTTGAAAAGAAATTAGACAATGATCGTTCTGGGAAGTAACCTAACTGAACGATGACCAACTTAACCAAACTATGACAAAATCACTGTACTTAACGATCCTCGATATGACGAAGTTACTACCCGTGAGGAATACATTTTATTTCTGTTGTAACTTTCGTGTCCATGGTCAAGACTCATCTAAGGTCAAAACAAAGAAATAGTTTACAGTTTTCCAAATACCTTAAATTTTTAATAACGACTACTACTGAAAGCGATACAATTTCTGTGCACAATGACATCAAGGATTTCTTCCTGAATGTCGCCACTATATGTAACACATAAGGACATCTGACAGACCCAGCTTTTAGTCTGGAATCTATTGTGTTTTTTCTGAGGGTTCCTGATGAATGTCAATACTGAAAGACCTGCCGGTTGCATCAAATGGACTTACACTTTTATTTATTACTACTAAAAAATCGGGGAACTCGCGTGCAACTTACCTCTGTGTTTCCTTGACTTGGATTTGGATAAACATTTTCCCAAGTGACTTTTAATGCTGTATTAGGGTCAAAGTTCAAAACCTCCTCGCTGTTAGGGTAATTGTTTGTTAATAAATTTGTGATGTTGTGTAGAAAGGTCGCCGTGGAAGTGTCCGGATCGAACTTGTTGTAAAAATGGTACCATACATTTGTATATGCATTAGTTATGACGTCAGCCCAAAATGGGGCTAGCATCTTGACTCCACTGGTATAGCTTGAAGGAAATGATCTTGGGATGTTCGAAGAATATTGCGAATCCAACGTTATGTACCCATTAGAGTAAATCTGCAATAAAAAAATATACAGTGTTTACAGTTGATATATAACTTGATTTATATAATCATCTGGCAGCGTATTATTTTAAAATTGAATCCAGGATTTTCGATTAGTCCCATTTCCTTGTAACAGAAAAATGAAGGTCTATTTCTATTCTGATAGGATGAAAATGTTTAATTTTGTGCTTTGCTAAAATGCAGTTCCCCAATAATATTATGGTAAAACGTGGCGCATTTATCTCTTATTATGTAAGGATTATAACGGAAACAGTAGTATTATGTGAACAGAAAACTAAACTACATAATTTTGAAATAACTTGCAAGATAACTTCTTAAACACTTAAAAGATAAAAAAAAAAAAAAAAAAAAAAAAAAAAACGTGCTTATTCTCTTGCTATATAAAAAAATAGATATTTCAATAACACATGTTGTGAAATTAAATGCCAAAGTTATATCCCCTTTTTGAAGAAATCAAATGATTTTCTGTATTTTTCCCAAAAAAAGTATACCATAAACTTATGTTTCTCAAATAAAGTGCATTTTTGTATCAAACATTGTAAAACATTTTAATCATGGAAAATTTATACCAACTATTTCATATCCTTAAATTTTCTGGAACGTTTTACTGATAATCTCTTAAAAATATATGATTGCTGTTTGATTAAAATCCAGTGACAAATATTTCTTTCATATTTGATACAGGACGACCAATAGACATAAACTTTAATGTGTTAACGGTGAAGATATACGAAATTTAAACTAAAATTGTTACCAAACTAAATAAATGCAGAATATATATTAACAGGATATATTTTTACAGTCATCAGTGATATGAAATAATACTTTTAAAGCAAATAAGTGATAAGAACATTGAGAAAAAGTCAGTTTTGGTTTTTAATTATATCATGACTAGACAACTATAGTAAAATTGTGATTTGCTGCTTCTACATTTATCCTTAGTTAAAAACGGAACACCAGGAAGATACGAGACGCAATGTAATCATCGTGTAAGATAGCACTGGAGGCGCAACAAACACTCAATTGAACATATAATAATTTTCTATTTAAAGAAGATACTCACATAAACCTGATTATATATATCACAGTTGCATGTCAAACCCACAGGGTTGTAAATGCTGGCAACTTCAACATCATCACCTAAATCTCCTTTCTGGTCTTTGGCTGAAGCACCAAAACTTAACAGATCTAAAACGATCAATTGGGAATTTCTCACAATTAATAAAAAACAATCTGTAAAAGTGTGTAAGGCTCATAGGAAGAAAATGCAAGACCTGCTCTTCTTTATTGTTGTTGTAATTGAATCCAATTTCAAATTATTATTATTATTTTTCTAATTATTTTTATGTCAAATTGAAATTGTATATTTGCAATATAAAAGCTGCGTAATTAACCCCCTACTAAAAGTACCAGAAATTTGTCATAAAAAATTAAAACAATATGCGAATATTAGTATAACAAAACACTTAGTTTTTTATTTGTTTTAAATGCAGAATTTTAAAAAAAATCCCACATAGAGCTTATAACTTGATAGATAAAATACCTATGCTAACAGCTGTGGATTCGGTAGTCGGTATTGTAACATGAGGTCCTGTTGTAGGCACTGCTGTCGATGATGAAGTTCCAGCCAGTGTAGTATCTATGCTTGTCTGAGAGACAGTTGTACTTTCGGGGCTGGTCACTGGCGAGATACTGACTGCGGTTGTTACAGTTGTCGCCTTAGCTATAGTGCCAGTAGTCTTAAATACAGTGGTACCTTCGGTGCTGGTCACTGGAGAGGTAATGGCTCCGGTTGTTGCAGTCGTCATCTCAGCTATAATGCCTGTAGTCTTCAATACAGTGGTACTTTCGGTGCTGGTCACTGGCGATGTAGTGACTGGGACTGTGACAGTCGTTGTATCAGCTATAGTGCCAGTAGTCTTAGAGACAGTTGTACCTTCGGTGGTGAACAGCGTAGTATAAGTAGTCTGAGATACCGCGGTACCTTCGGTGGTGGACAGCGTAGTATCAGTAGTCTGAGAGACCGTTGTACCTTCGATGCTTGTCTCTGGCGATGAAGTGACTACGGCTGTGCCAGTCGTTGTCTCAGCTGTTGTGCCCCTAGTCGGAGAGACTGTGGTTCTTTCGGTGGTAAAATGCGTAGTATCAATAGTCTGAGAGACAGTTGTGCCTTTGGTGCTGGTCACTGGCGAAGTTGTGGCTGCGGCTGTGATAATCGTTGTCTCAGCTGTTGTGCCAGTTGTTTGAGAAACAGTTGTTCCTTCGGTGCTGGACAATGTAGTATCAGTAATCTGAGAGACGGTCGTAACTTCGGCGGTCGACAGCGTTGTATCAGTAGTCTGAGAGACAGTTGTACCTTCGGTGCTTGTCTCTGACGATGTAGAGACTGCAGCTGTGCCAGTCGTTGTCTCAGCTGTGGTGCCAATAATCTGAGTGACAGTTGTACCTTCGGAACTGGATAGTGTAGTATGAGTAGTCTTGGAAACAGCTGTGCCGTCGGTGCTAGTCACTTGCGAAGTTGTGGATGTGGCTATGCCAGTCGTTGTTTCAGCTGAAGTGCCCGTAGTATGAGAGACAGTTGAACCTTCGGTACTTAATACTGGTGATGATGAGGCTGTTGCTGTTATAGAGGTTGTCTCACCTGTAGTGTCAGTAGTCTGAGAGACACTGGTTCCTTCGGTGCTTGACAGTGTAGTATAAGTAGTCTGAGTGACGGTTGTACCTTCGGTGGTCGACTGCGTAGTATTAGTACTCTGAGAGACCGTTGTACCTTCGGTGCTTGTCTCTGGTGATGTAGTGACTGCGGCTGTGTTAGTCGTTGTCTCAGCTGTAGTGCCCGTAGTTCGAGAAACAATTGATCCGTCGGTGCTGGACAGTGTAGTATCAGTATTCTGAGTGAAGGTTGTACCTGCGGTGCTTGTCTCTGTTGATGTAGTGACTGCGGCTGTGTCAGTCGTTGTCTCAGCTGTAGTGCCCGTAGTTTGAGAGACAGTTGAACCTTCGGTACTTAATACTGGTGATGAAGAGGCTGTTGTTGTTATAGACGTTGTCTCCCCTGTAGTGTCAGTAGTCTCAGAGACACTGGTTCCTTCGGTGCTTGACAGTGTAGTATAAGTAGTCTGAGAGACGGTCGTACCTTCGGTGGTCGACAGCGTAGTATCAGTTGTATGAGTGATGGTTGAAGCTTCGGTAGTGGACTGCGTAGTATTAGTAATCTGAGAGACCGTTGTACCTTCGGTCCTTGTCTCTGGTGATGTAGTGACTGCGGCTGTGATAGTTGTTGTCTCAGGTGTTGCGCCAGTAGTTTGAGAAACAGTTGTTCCTTTAGTGCTGGACAGAGTTGTATCAGTAGTCTGAGAGACGGTTGTACCTTCGGTGCTGGACAGCGTAGTATCAGTAGTCTGAAAGACAGTTGTACCTTCAGTGCTTATCCCTGGCGATGTTATGACTGGGGCTGTGCCGGTCGTTGTCTCAGCTGTAGTACCAGTAGTTTGAGAAACAGTTGTTCCGTCGGTGCTGAACAGTGTATTATCAGTAGTCTGAGAGACCGTTGTACCTTCGGTGCTGGTCACTGTCTCAGTTGTGGCTGCGGCTGTGATAGTTGTTGCGGCAGCAGTTTGAGAAACAGTTGTTCCTTTAGTGCTGGACAGAGTTGTATCAGTAGTCTGAGAGACGGTTGTACCTTCGGTGCTGGACAGCGTAGTATCAGTAGTCTGAGAGACAATTATACCTTCAGTGCTTATCTCTGCGGATGTTATGACTTGGGCTGTGCCAGTTGTTGTCTCAGCTGTAGTGCCAGTAGTTTGAGAAACAGTTCTTCCGTCGGTGCTGGACAGTGTATTATCAGTAGTCTGAGAGACCGTTGTACCTTCGGTGCTGGTCACTGTCGAAGTTGTGGCTGCGGCTGTGACACTCGTTGTCTCAGTTGTAGTGCCAGTAGTTTGAGAAACAGTTGTTTCATCGGTGCTGGACAGTGTATTATCAGTTGTCTGAGAGACAGTTGTACCTTCGGTTCTGGTCACTGTCGAAGTTGGGGCTGCGGCTGTGATAGTTGTTGCGGCAGTAGTTTGAGAAACAGTTGTTCCTTCGGTGCTGGACAGTATAGTATCAGTAGTCTGAGTGATTGTTGTACCATCGGTGCTGGACTGCGTAGTATTAGTACTCTGAGAGACCGTTGTACCTTCGGTGCTTGTCTCTGGTGATGTTGTGACTGCGGCTGTGTCAGTCGTCGTCTCAGCTGTTGTGCCCGTAGTCGGGGAGACTCTGGTACCTTCGGTGGTGGACTGCGAAGTATTCGTAGTCTCGGAAAAATTTCTGCCTTCGGTGCTGGTCAATGGCGAAGTAGTGTCTCCGGCTGTTACAACCGTTGTCTCAGCTGTAGTGCCAGTAGTTTGAGAAACAGTTGTTTCATCGGTGCTGGACAGTGTATCATCAGTAGTCTGAGAGACCATTGTACCTTCGGTGCTGGTCACTGTCGAAGTTGTGGCTGCGGCTGTGATAGTTGTTGTCTCAGCAGGTGCGCTAGTAGTTTGAGAAACAGTTGTTCCTTTAGTGCTGGACAGAGTTGTATCACTAGTCTGAGAGACGGTTGTACCTTCGGTGCTGGACAGCGTAGTATCAGTAGTCTGAAAGACAGTTGTACCTTCAGTGCTTATCCCTGGCGATGTTATGACTGCGGCTGTGACAGTCGTTGTCTCAGTTGTAGTGCCAGTAGTTTGAGAAACAGTTGTTCCGTCGGTGTTGAACAGTGTATTATCAGTAGTCTGAGAGACCGTTGTACCTTCGGTGCTGGTCACTGTCGAAGTTGTGGCTGCGGCTGTGATAGTTGTTGTCTCAGTTGTTGCGGCAGTAGTTTGAGAAACAGTTGTTCCTTTAGTGCTGGACAGAGTTGTATCAGTAGTCTGAGAGACGGTTGTACCTTCGGTGCTAAACAGTGTAGTATCAGTAGTCTGAGAGACAGTTGTACCTTCAGTGCTTATCTCTGCGGATGTAATGACTGGATCTGTGCCAGTTGTTGTCTCAGCTGTAGTGCCAGTAGTTTGAGAAACAGTTGTTCCTTTAGTGCTGGACTGAGTTGTATCAGTAGTTTGAGAGACGGTTGTACCTTCGGTGCTGGACAGCGTAGTATCAGTAGTCTTAAAGACAGTTGTACCTTCAGTCCTTATCTCTGGCGATGTAAGGACTGGGGCTGTGCCGGTCGTTGTCTCAGCTGTTGTGCCAGTAGTTTGAGAAACAGTTGTTCCATCGGTGCTGGACAGTGTATTATCAGTAGTATCAGAGACCGTTGTTCCTTCGGTGCTGGTGACTGTCGAAGTTGTGGCGTCGGCTGTGATAGTTGTTGTCTCAGTTGTTGCGGCAGTAGTTTGAGAAACAGTTGTTCCTTTAATGCTGGACAGAGTTGTATCAGTAGTCTGAGAGACGGTTGTACCTTCGGTGCTGGACAACGTAGTATCAGTGGTCTGAGAGACAGTTGTACCTTCAGTGCTTATCTCTGCGGATGTTATGACTGGATCTGTGCCAGTTGTTGTCTCAGCTGTAGTGCCAGTAGTTTGAGAAACAGTTGTTCCTTTAGTGCTGGACTGAGTTGTATGAGTAGTCTGAGAGACGGTTGTACCTTCGGTGCTGGACAGCGTAGTATCAGTAGTCTGAAAGACAGTTGTACCTTCAGTGCTGATCTCTGGCGATGTTAGGACTGGGGCTGTGCCGGTCGTTGTCTCAGCTGTTGTGCCAGTAGTTCGAGAAACAGTTGTTCCGTCGGTACTGGACAGTGTTTTATCAGTAGTCTGAGAGACGGTTGTACCTTCGGTGCTATACAGCGTAGTATCAGTAGTCTGAAAGACAGTTGTACCTTCAGTGCTTATCTCTGGTGATGTTATAACTGGGGCTGTGCCGGTCGTTGTCTCAGCTGTTGTGACAGTAGTTTGAGAAACAGTTGTTCCGTCGGTGCTGGACAGTGTACTATCAGAAGTCTGAGAGACCGTTGTACCTTCGGTGCTGGTCACTGTCGAAGTTGTGGCTGCGGCTGTGACAGTCGTTGTCTCAGTTGTAGTGCCAGTAGTTTGAGAAACAGTTGTTTCATCGGTGCTGGACAGTGTATTATCAGTTGTCTGAGAGACCGTTGTACCTTCGGTGCTGGTCACTGTCGAAGTTGGGGCTGCGGCTGTGATAGTTGTTGTCTCAGCTGTTGGGCCAGTAGTTTGAGAAACAGTTGTTCCTTTAGTGCTGGACAGAGTTGTATCAGTAGTCTGAGAGACCGTTTTACCTTCGGTGCTGGTCACTGTCAAAGTTGTGGCGTCGGCTGTGATAGTTGTTGTCTCAGTTGTTGCGGCAGTAGTTTGAGAAACAGTTGTTCCTTTAGTGCTGGACTGAGTTGTATCAGTAGTCTGAGAGACGGTTGTACCTTCGGTGCTGGACAGCGTAGTATCAGTAGTCTGAGAGACAGTTGTACCTTTAGTGCTGATCTCTGGCGATGTTAGGACTGGGGCTGTGCCGGTCGTTGTCTCAGCTGTTGTGCCAGTAGTTTGAGAAACAGTTGTTCCGTCGGTGCTGGACAGCGTAGTATCAGTAGTCTGAGAGACAGTTGTACCTTCAGTGCTTATCTCTGCGGATGTTATGACTGGATCTGTGCCAGTTGTTGTCTCAGCTGTAGTGCCAGTAGTTTGAGAAACAGTTGTTCCTTTAGTGCTGGACTGAGTTGTATCAGTAGTCTGAGAGACGGTTGTACCTTCGGTGCTGGACAGCGTAGTATCAGTAGTCTTAAAGACAGTTGTACCTTCAGTGCTTATCTCTGGCGATGTTAGGACTTGGGCTGTGCCGGTCGTTGTCTCAGCTGTTGTGCCAGTAGTTTGAGAAAGAGTTGTTCCGTCGGTGCTGGACAGTGTATTATCAGTAGTATCAGAGACCGTTGTTCCTTCGGTGCTGGTGACTGTCGAAGTTGTGGCGTCGGCTGTGATAGTTGTTGTCTCAGTTGTTGCAGCAGTAGTTTGAGAAACAGTTGTTCCTTTAGTGCTGGACAGAGTTGTATCAGTAGTCTGAGAGACGGTTGTACCTTCGGTGCTGGACAACGTAGTATCAGTGGTCTGAGAGACAGTTGTACCTTCAGTGCTTATCTCTGCGGATGTTATGACTGGATCTGTGCCAGTTGTTGTCTCAGCTGTAGTGCCAGTAGTTTGAGAAACAGTTGTTCCTTTAGTGCTGGACTGAGTTGTATCAGTAGTCTGAGAGACGGTTGTAACTTCGGTGCTGGACAGCGTAGTATCAGTAGTCTGAAAGACAGTTGTACCTTCAGTGCTGATCTCTGGCGATGTTAGGACTGGGGCTGTGCCGGTCGTTGTCTCAGCTGTTGTGCCAGTAGTTCGAGAAACAGTTGTTCCGTCGGTGCTGGACAGTGTTTTATCAGTAGTCTGAGAGACGGTTGTACCTTCGGTGCTGGACAGCGTAGTATCAGTAGTCTGAAAGACAGTTGTACCTTCAGTGCTTATCTCTGGTGATGTTATAACTGGGGCTGTGCCGGTCGTTGTCTCAGCTGTTGTGACAGTAGTTTGAGAAACAGTTGTTCCGTCGGTGCTGGACAGTGTACTATCAGAAGTCTGAGAGACCGTTGTACCTTCGGTGCTGGTCACTGTCGAAGTTGTGGCTGCGGCTGTGACAGTCGTTGTCTCAGTTGTAGTGCCAGTAGTTTGAGAAACAGTTGTTCCGTCGGTGTTGAACAGTGTATTATCAGTAGTCTGAGAGACCGTTGTACCTTCGGTGCTGGTCACTGTCGAAGTTGTGGCTGCGGCTGTGATAGTTGTTGTCTCAGTTGTTGCGGCAGTAGTTTGAGAAACAGTTGTTCCTTTAGTGCTGGACAGAGTTGTATCAGTAGTCTGAGAGACGGTTGTACCTTCGGTGCTAAACAGTGTAGTATCAGTAGTCTGAGAGACAGTTGTACCTTCAGTGCTTATCTCTGCGGATGTAATGACTGGATCTGTGCCAGTTGTTGTCTCAGCTGTAGTGCCAGTAGTTTGAGAAACAGTTGTTCCTTTAGTGCTGGACTGAGTTGTATCAGTAGTCTGAGAGACGGTTGTACCTTCGGTGCTAGACAGCGTAGTATCAGTAGTCTTAAAGACAGTTGTACCTTCAGTCCTTATCTCTGGCGATGTAAGGACTGGGGCTGTGCCGGTCGTTGTCTCAGCTGTTGTGCCAGTAGTTTGAGAAACAGTTGTTCCATCGGTGCTGGACAGTGTATTATCAGTAGTATCAGAGACCGTTGTTCCTTCGGTGCTGGTGACTGTCGAAGTTGTGGCGTCGGCTGTGATAGTTGTTGTCTCAGTTGTTGCGGCAGTAGTTTGAGAAACAGTTGTTCCTTTAATGCTGGACAGAGTTGTATCAGTAGTCTGAGAGACGGTTGTACCTTCGGTGCTGGACAACGTAGTATCAGTGGTCTGAGAGACAGTTGTACCTTCAGTGCTTATCTCTGCGGATGTTATGACTGGATCTGTGCCAGTTGTTGTCTCAGCTGTAGTGCCAGTAGTTTGAGAAACAGTTGTTCCTTTAGTGCTGGACTGAGTTGTATGAGTAGTCTGAGAGACGGTTGTACCTTCGGTGCTGGACAGCGTAGTATCAGTAGTCTGAAAGACAGTTGTACCTTCAGTGCTGATCTCTGGCGATGTTAGGACTGGGGCTGTGCCGGTCGTTGTCTCAGCTGTTGTGCCAGTAGTTCGAGAAACAGTTGTTCCGTCGGTGCTGGACAGTGTTTTATCAGTAGTCTGAGAGACGGTTGTACCTTCGGTGCTGGACAGCGTAGTATCAGTAGTCTGAAAGACAGTTGTACCTTCAGTGCTTATCTCTGGTGATGTTATAACTGGGGCTGTGCCGGTCGTTGTCTCAGCTGTTGTGACAGTAGTTTGAGAAACAGTTGTTCCGTCGGTGCTGGACAGTGTATTATCAGAAGTCTGAGAGACCGTTGTACCTTCGGTGCTGGTCACTGTCGAAGTTGTGGCTGCGGCTGTGACAGTCGTTGTCTCAGCTGTTGGGCCAGTAGTTTGAGAAACAGTTGTTCCTTTAGTGCTGGACAGAGTTGTATCAGTAGTCTGAGAGACCGTTTTACCTTCGGTGCTGGTCACTGTCGAAGTTGTGGCTGCGGCTGTGACAGTCGTTGTCTCAGTTGTAGTGCCAGTAGTTTGAGAAACAGTTGTTTCATCGGAGCTGGACAGTGTATTATCAGTTGTCTGAGAGACCGTTGTACCTTCGGTGCTGGTCACTGTCGAAGTTGGGGCTGCGGCTGTGATAGTTGTTGTCTCAGCTGTTGGGCCAGTAGTTTGAGAAACAGTTGTTCCTTTAGTGCTGGACAGAGTTGTATCAGTAGTCTGAGAGACCGTTTTACCTTCGGTGCTGGTCACTGTCAAAGTTGTGGCGTCGGCTGTGATAGTTGTTGTCTCAGTTGTTGCGGCAGTAGTTTGAGAAACAGTTGTTCCTTTAGTGCTGGACTGAGTTGTATCAGTAGTCTGAGAGACGGTTGTACCTTCGGTGCTGGACAGCGTAGTATCAGTAGTCTGAGAGACAGTTGTACCTTTAGTGCTGATCTCTGGCGATGTTAGGACTGGGGCTGTGCCGGTCGTTGTCTCAGCTGTTGTGCCAGTAGTTTGAGAAACAGTTGTTCCGTCGGTGCTGGACAGCGTAGTATCAGTAGTCTGAGAGACAGTTGTACCTTCAGTGCTTATCTCTGCGGATGTTATGACTGGATCTGTGCCAGTTGTTGTCTCAGCTGTAGTGCCAGTAGTTTGAGAAACAGTTGTTCCTTTAGTGCTGGACTGAGTTGTATCAGTAGTCTGAGAGACGGTTGTACCTTCGGTGCTGGACAGCGTAGTATCAGTAGTCTTAAAGACAGTTGTACCTTCAGTGCTTATCTCTGGCGATGTTAGGACTTGGGCTGTGCCGGTCGTTGTCTCAGCTGTTGTGCCAGTAGTTTGAGAAAGAGTTGTTCCGTCGGTGCTGGACAGTGTATTATCAGTAGTATCAGAGACCGTTGTTCCTTCGGTGCTGGTGACTGTCGAAGTTGTGGCGTCGGCTGTGATAGTTGTTGTCTCAGTTGTTGCAGCAGTAGTTTGAGAAACAGTTGTTCCTTTAGTGCTGGACAGAGTTGTATCAGTAGTCTGAGAGACGGTTGTACCTTCGGTGCTGGACAACGTAGTATCAGTGGTCTGAGAGACAGTTGTACCTTCAGTGCTTATCTCTGCGGATGTTATGACTGGATCTGTGCCAGTTGTTGTCTCAGCTGTAGTGCCAGTAGTTTGAGAAACAGTTGTTCCTTTAGTGCTGGACTGAGTTGTATCAGTAGTCTGAGAGACGGTTGTAACTTCGGTGCTGGACAGCGTAGTATCAGTAGTCTGAAAGACAGTTGTACCTTCAGTGCTGATCTCTGGCGATGTTAGGACTGGGGCTGTGCCGGTCGTTGTCTCAGCTGTTGTGCCAGTAGTTCGAGAAACAGTTGTTCCGTCGGTGCTGGACAGTGTTTTATCAGTAGTCTGAGAGACGGTTGTACCTTCGGTGCTGGACAGCGTAGTATCAGTAGTCTGAAAGACAGTTGTACCTTCAGTGCTTATCTCTGGTGATGTTATAACTGGGGCTGTGCCGGTCGTTGTCTCAGCTGTTGTGACAGTAGTTTGAGAAACAGTTGTTCCGTCGGTGCTGGACAGTGTACTATCAGAAGTCTGAGAGACCGTTGTACCTTCGGTGCTGGTCACTGTCGAAGTTGTGGCTGCGGCTGTGACAGTCGTTGTCTCAGTTGTAGTGCCAGTAGTTTGAGAAACAGTTGTTCCGTCGGTGTTGAACAGTGTATTATCAGTAGTCTGAGAGACCGTTGTACCTTCGGTGCTGGTCACTGTCGAAGTTGTGGCTGCGGCTGTGATAGTTGTTGTCTCAGTTGTTGCGGCAGTAGTTTGAGAAACAGTTGTTCCTTTAGTGCTGGACAGAGTTGTATCAGTAGTCTGAGAGACGGTTGTACCTTCGGTGCTAAACAGTGTAGTATCAGTAGTCTGAGAGACAGTTGTACCTTCAGTGCTTATCTCTGCGGATGTAATGACTGGATCTGTGCCAGTTGTTGTCTCAGCTGTAGTGCCAGTAGTTTGAGAAACAGTTGTTCCTTTAGTGCTGGACTGAGTTGTATCAGTAGTCTGAGAGACGGTTGTACCTTCGGTGCTAGACAGCGTAGTATCAGTAGTCTTAAAGACAGTTGTACCTTCAGTCCTTATCTCTGGCGATGTAAGGACTGGGGCTGTGCCGGTCGTTGTCTCAGCTGTTGTGCCAGTAGTTTGAGAAACAGTTGTTCCATCGGTGCTGGACAGTGTATTATCAGTAGTATCAGAGACCGTTGTTCCTTCGGTGCTGGTGACTGTCGAAGTTGTGGCGTCGGCTGTGATAGTTGTTGTCTCAGTTGTTGCGGCAGTAGTTTGAGAAACAGTTGTTCCTTTAATGCTGGACAGAGTTGTATCAGTAGTCTGAGAGACGGTTGTACCTTCGGTGCTGGACAACGTAGTATCAGTGGTCTGAGAGACAGTTGTACCTTCAGTGCTTATCTCTGCGGATGTTATGACTGGATCTGTGCCAGTTGTTGTCTCAGCTGTAGTGCCAGTAGTTTGAGAAACAGTTGTTCCTTTAGTGCTGGACTGAGTTGTATGAGTAGTCTGAGAGACGGTTGTACCTTCGGTGCTGGACAGCGTAGTATCAGTAGTCTGAAAGACAGTTGTACCTTCAGTGCTGATCTCTGGCGATGTTAGGACTGGGGCTGTGCCGGTCGTTGTCTCAGCTGTTGTGCCAGTAGTTCGAGAAACAGTTGTTCCGTCGGTGCTGGACAGTGTTTTATCAGTAGTCTGAGAGACGGTTGTACCTTCGGTGCTGGACAGCGTAGTATCAGTAGTCTGAAAGACAGTTGTACCTTCAGTGCTTATCTCTGGTGATGTTATAACTGGGGCTGTGCCGGTCGTTGTCTCAGCTGTTGTGACAGTAGTTTGAGAAACAGTTGTTCCGTCGGTGCTGGACAGTGTATTATCAGAAGTCTGAGAGACCGTTGTACCTTCGGTGCTGGTCACTGTCGAAGTTGTGGCTGCGGCTGTGACAGTCGTTGTCTCAGCTGTTGGGCCAGTAGTTTGAGAAACAGTTGTTCCTTTAGTGCTGGACAGAGTTGTATCAGTAGTCTGAGAGACCGTTTTACCTTCGGTGCTGGTCACTGTCGAAGTTGTGGCTGCGGCTGTGACAGTCGTTGTCTCAGTTGTAGTGCCAGTAGTTTGAGAAACAGTTGTTTCATCGGAGCTGGACAGTGTATTATCAGTTGTCTGAGAGACCGTTGTACCTTCGGTGCTGGTCACTGTCGAAGTTGGGGCTGCGGCTGTGATAGTTGTTGTCTCAGCTGTTGGGCCAGTAGTTTGAGAAACAGTTGTTCCTTTAGTGCTGGACAGAGTTGTATCAGTAGTCTGAGAGACCGTTTTACCTTCGGTGCTGGTCACTGTCGAAGTTGTGGCGTCGGCTGTGATAGTTGTTGTCTCAGTTGTTGCGGCAGTAGTTTGAGAAACAGTTGTTCCTTTAGTGCTGGACTGAGTTGTATCAGTAGTCTGAGAGACGGTTGTACCTTCGGTGCTGGACAGCGTAGTATCAGTAGTCTGAGAGACAGTTGTACCTTTAGTGCTGATCTCTGGCGATGTTAGGACTGGGGCTGTGCCGGTCGTTGTCACAGCTGTTGTGCCAGTAGTTTGAGAAACAGTTGTTCCGTCGGTGCTGGACAGCGTAGTATCAGTAGTCTGAGAGACAGTTGTACCTTCAGTGCTTATCTCTGCGGATGTTATGACTAGATCTGTACCAGTTGTTGTCTCAGCTGTAGTGCCAGTAGTTTGAGAAACAGTTGTTCCTTTAGTGCTGGACTGAGTTGTATCAGTAGTCTGAGAGACGGTTGTACCTTCGGTGCTGGACAGCGTAGTATCAGTAGTCTTAAAGACAGTTGTACCTTCAGTGCTTATCTCTGGCGATGTTAGGACTTGGGATGTGCCGGTCGTTGTCTCAGCTGTTGTGCCAGTAGTTTGAGAAAGAGTTGTTCCGTCGGTGCTGGACAGTGTATTATCAGTAGTATCAGAGACCGTTGTTCCTTCGGTGCTGGTGACTGTCGAAGTTGTGGCGTCGGCTGTGATAGTTGTTGTCTCAGTTGTTGCGGCAGTAGTTTGAGAAACAGTTGTTCCTTTAGTGCTGGACAGAGTTGTATCAGTAGTCTGAGAGACGGTTGTACCTTCGGTGCTGGACAGCGTAGTATCAGTAGTATGAGAGACAGTTGTTCCTTCAGTGCTTATCTCTGGCGATGTTATGACTGGGGCTGTGCCGGTCGTTGTCTCACCTGTTGTGCCAGTAGTTTGAGAAACAGTTGTTCCGTCGGTGCTGGACAGTGTATTATCAGTAGTCTGAGAGATCGTTGTACCTTCGGTGCTGGTCACTGTCGAAGTTGTGGCTGCGGCTGTGACACTTGTCTCAGTTGTAGTGCCAGTAGTTTTAGAAACAGTTGTTTCATCGGTGCTGGACAGTGTATTATCAGTAGTCTGAGAGACAGTTGTACCTTCGGTGCTGGTCACTGTCGAAGTTGGGGCTGCGGCTGTGATAGTTGTTGTCTCAGCTGTTGGACCAGTGGTTTGAGAAACAATTATTTCTTTAGTGCTGGACCGAGTTGTATCAGTAGTCTCAGAGACCGTTGTACGTTCGGTGCTGGTCACTGTCGAAGTTGCGGCTGCGGCTGTGCTAGTTGTTGTCTCAGCTGTTGCGCCAGTAGTCTGATAAACAGTTGTTCCTTTACTGCTGGATAGAGTTGTATCAGTAGTCTGAGAGACGGTTGTACCTTCAGTGCTTATCTCTGGCGATGTTACGACTGGGGCTGTGCCGGTCGTTGTCTCAGCTGTTGTGCCAGTAGTTTGAGAAACAGTTGTTCCGTCAGTGCTGGACAGTGTATTATCAGTAGTCTGAGAGACCGTTGTCCCTTCGGTGCTGGTCACTGTCGAAGTTGTGGCTGCGGCTGTGACAGTCGTTGTCTCAGTTGTAGTGCCAGTAGCTTGAGAAACAGTTGTTTCATCGGTGCTGGACAGTATATTATCAGTAGTCCGAAAGACTGTTGTACCTTCGGTGCTGGTCACTGTCGAAGTTGGGGCTGCGGCTGTGATAGTTGTTATCTCAGCTGTTGGGCCAATAGTTTGAGAAAGAGTTGTTGCTTTAGTGCTGGACAGACTTGTATCAGTAGTCTGAGAGACCGTTGTACCTTCGGTGCTGGTCACTGTCGAAGTCGGGGCTGCGGCTGTGATAGTTGTTATCTCAGCTGTTGGGCCAATAGTTTGAGAAACAGTTGTTCCTTTAGTGCTGGACACAGTTGTATCAGTAGTCTGAGAGACGGTTGTACCTTCGGTGCTGGACAGCGTAGTATCAGTAGTCTGAAACACAGTTGTACCTTCAGTGCTTATCTCTGGTGATGTTATGACTGGGGCTGTGCCGGTCGTTGTCTCAGCTGTTGTGCCAGTAGTTTGAGAAACAGTTGTTCCGTCGGTGCTGGACAGTGTACTATCAGTAGTCTGAGAGACCGTTGTACCTTCGGTGCTGGTCATTGTCGAAGGTGTGGCTGCGGCTGTGACAGTCGTTGTCTCAGTTGTTGTGCCAGTAGTTTGAGAAACAGCTGTTTCATCAGTGCTGGACTGTGTATTATCAGTAGTCTGAGAGACCGTTGTACCTTCGGTGCTGGTCACTGTCGAAGTTGGGGCTGCGGCTGTGATAGTTGTTGTCTCAGTTGTTGCGGCAGTAGTTTGAGAAACAGTTGTTCCTTTAGTGCTGGACAGAGTTGTATCAGTAGTCTGAGAGACCGTTATACCTGCGGTGCTGGTCACTGTCGAAGTTGGGGCTGGGGCTGTGATAGTTGTTGTCTCAGCTGTTGTGCCAGTAGTTTGAGAAACAGTTGTTCCTTTAGATCTGGACAGAGTTGTATCAGTAGTCTGAGAGACCGTTGTACCTTCGGTGCTGGTCACTGTCGAAGTTGGGGCTGCGGCTGTGATAGTTGTTGTCTCAGTTGTTGCGGCAGTAGTTTGAGAAACAGTTGTTCCTTTAGTGCTGGACAGAGTTGTATCAGTAGTCTGAGAGACCGTTATACCTGCGGTGCTGGTCACTGTCGAAGTTGGGGCTGGGGCTGTGATAGTTGTTGTCTCAGCTGTTGTGCCAGTAGTTTGAGAAACAGTTGTTCCTTTAGATCTGGACAGAGTTGTATCAGTAGTCTGAGAGACCGTTGTACCTTCGGTGCTGGTCACTGTCGAAGTTGGGGCTGCGGCTGTGATAGTTGTTGTCTCAGTTGTTGCGGCAGTAGTTTGAGAAACAGTTGTTCCTTTAGTGCTGGACAGAGTTGTATCAGTAGTCTGAGAGACCGTTGTACCTTCGGTGCTGGTCACTGTCGAAGTTGGGGCTGGGGCTGTGATAGTTGTTGTCTCAGCTGTTGCGCCAGTAGTTTGAGAAACAGTTGTTCCTTTAGATCTGGACAGAGTTGTATCAGTAGTCTGAAAGACAGTTGTACCTTTAGTGCTTATCTCTGGCGATGTTATGACTGGGGCTGTGCCGGTCGTTATCTCAGCTGTTGTGCCAGTAGTTTGAGTAACAGTTGTTCCGTCGGTGCTGGACAGTGTATTATCAGTAGTCTGAGAGACCGTTGTACCTTCGGTGGTGGTCACTGTCGAAGTTGTGGCTGCGACTATGATAGTTGTTGTCTCAGTTGTTGCGGCAGTAGTTTGAGAAACAGTTGTCCCTTTAGTGCTGGACAGAGTTGTACCAGTAGTCTGAGAAACCGTTGTACCTTCGGTGCTAGTCACAGTCGAAGTTGGGGCTGGGGCTGTGATAGTTGTTGTCTCAGCTGTTGCGCCAGTAGTTTGAGAAACAGTTGTTCCTTTAGTGCTGGACAGAGTTGTATCAGTAGTCTGAGAGACGGTTGTACCTTCGGTGCTGGACAGCGTAGTATCAGTAGTCTGAAAGACAGTTGTACCTTCAGTGCTTATCTCTGGCGATGTTTTGACTGGGGTTGTGCCGGTCGTTGTCTCAGCTGTTGTGCCAGTAGTTTGAGAAACAGTTGTTCTATCGGTGCTGGACAGTGTATTATCAGTAGTCTGAGAGACCGTTGTACCTTCGGTGCTGGTCACTGTCTCAGTTGTTGCTGCGGCTGTGATAGTTGTTGCGGCAGTAGTTTGAGAAACAGTTGTTCCTTCGATGCTGGACATTGTCGTATCAGTAGTCTGTGAGACAGTTGTACCTTCGGTGCTGGACAGTATAGTATCAGTAGTCTGAGTGATGGTTGTACCGTCGGTGCTGGACTGCGCAGTATTAGTACTCTGAGAGACCGTTTTATCTTCGGTGCTTGTCTCTGGCGATGTTGTGACTGCGGCTGTGTCAGTCGTCGTCTCAGCTGTTGTGCCCGTAGTTGGGGAGACTTTGGTACCTTCGGTGGTGGACTGCGAAGTATTCGTAGTCTCGGAAAAAGTTGTGCCTTCGGTGCTTTTGAATGGCGAAGTTGTGTCTGCGGCTGTAACAATAGTTGTATCAGCTGTAGTGCCAGTAGTTTGAGAAACAGTTGTTTCATCGGTGCTGGACAGTGTATTATCAGTAGTCTGAGAGACCGTTGTACCTTCGGTGCTGGTCACTGTCGAAGTTGTGGTTGCGGCTGTGACAGTCGTTGTCTCAGTTGTACTGCCAGTAGTTTGAGAAACAGTTGTTTCATCGGTGCTGGACAGTGTATTATCAGTAGTCTTAGAGACCGTTGTACCTTCGGTGGTGGTCACTGTCGAAGTTTTGGCAGCGGCTGTGATAGCTGTTGTCTCAGCAGTTGCGCCAGTAGTTTGAGAAACAGTTGTTCCTTTAGTGCTGGACAGAGTTATATCAGTAGTCTGAGAGACGGTTGTACCTTCGGTGCTGGACAGCGTAGTATCAATAGTCTGAAAGACAGTTGTACCTTCAGTGCTTATCTCTGGCGATGTTATGACTGGGGCTGTGCCGGTCGTTGTCTCAGCTATTGTGCCAGTAGTTTGAGAAACAGTTGTTCCGTCGGTGCTGGATAGTGTATTATCAGTAATCTGAGAGACCGTTGTACCTTCGGTGCTGGTCACTGTCTCAGTTGTGGCTGCGGCTGTGATAGTTGTTGTCTCAATTGGTGCGGCAGTGGTTTGAGAAACAGTTGTTCCTTTAGTGCTGGACAGAGTTGTATCAGTAGTCTGAGAGACGGTTGTACCTTCGGTGCTGGACAGCGTAGTATCAGTAGTCTGAGAGACAGTTGTACCTTCAGTGCTTATCTCTGGCGATGTTATGACTGGGGCTGTGCCGGTCGTTATCTCAGCTGTTGTGCCAGTAGTTTGAGAAACAGTTGTTCCGTCGGTGCTGAACAGTGTTATATCAGTAGTCTGAGAGACCGTTGTACCTTCGGTGCTGGTCACTGTCTCAGTTGCGGCTGCGGCTGTGATAGTTGTTGTCTCAGTTGTTGCGGCAGTAGTTTGAGAAACAGTTGTTCCTTTAGTGCTGGACAGAGTAGTATCAGTAGTCTGAGAGATGATTGTACCTTCGGTGCTGGACAGCGTAGTATCAGTAGTCTGAGAGACAGTTTTACCTTCAGTGCTTATTTCTGCGGATGTTATGACTGGGGCTGTGCCAGTTGTTGTCTTAGCTGTAGTGCCAGTAGTTTGAGAAACAGTTGTTCCTTTAGTGCTGGACAGAGTTGTATAAGTAGTCTGAGAGACGGTTGTACCTTCGGTGCTGGACAGCGTAGTATCAGTAGTCTGAAAGACAGTTGTACCGTCAGTGCTTATCTCTGGCGATGTTATTACTGGGGCTGTTCCGGTTGTTGTCTCAGCTGTTGTGCCAGTAGTTTGAGAAACAGTTGTTCCGTCGGTGCTGGACAGTGTATTATCAGTAGTCTGAGAGACCGTTGTACCTTCGGTGCTGGTTACTGTCTCAGTTGTGGCTGCGGCTGTGATAGTTGTTGTCTCAGTTGTTGCGGCAGTAGTTTGAGAAACAGTTGTTCCTTTAGTGCCAGACAGAGTTGTGTCAGTTGTTCCTTTAGTGCTGGACAGAGTTGTATAAGTAGTCTGAGAGACGGTTGTACCTTCGGTGCTGGACAGCGTAGTATCAGTAGTCTGAGAGACAGTTGTACCTTCAGTGCTTATCTGTGCGGATGTTATGACTGGGGCTGTGCCAGTTGTTGTCTCAGCTGTAGTGCCAGTAGTTTGAGAAACAGTTGTTCCGTCGGCGATGGACAGTGTAGTATCAGTAGACTGAGAGACGGTTGTACCTTCAGTGCTTATCTCTGCGGATGTTATGACTGGGGCTGTGCCAGTTGTTGTCTCAGCTGTAGTGCCAGTAGTTTGAGAAACAGTTGTTCCGTCGGTGCTGGACAGTGTATTATCAGTAGTCTGAGAGACCGTTGTACCTTCGGTGCTGGTCACTGTCGAAGTTGTGGCTGCGGCTGTGATAGTTGTTGTTTCAGTTGTTGCGGCAGTAGTTTGAGAAACAGTTGTTCCTTTAGTGCCGGACAGAGTTGTGTCAGTAGTCTGAGAAACGGTTGTACCTTCGGTGCTGGACAGCGTAGTATCAGTAGTCTGAGAGACAGTTGTACCTTCAGTGCTTATCTCTGCGGATATTATGACTGGGGCTGTGCCAGTTGTTGTCTCAGCTGTAGTGCCAGTAGTTTGAAAAACAGTTGTCCCGTCGGCGCTGGACAGTGTAGTATCAGTAGACTGAGAGACGGTTGTACCGTCGGTGTTTGCCTCTGGCGATGTAGTGACTGTCAATGGCAAAGTTGTAGCTAAAATAGATAAAAGTTATGTTAAACTTTGCAGAACATCGAATTTATATTATATTACTCCCGAAGTCATGATTGAATTATTCCCTACTTGATCTAAACGAGTTTTTCTCGTTACAAGCATTTGGAAATCTTTTGATTTTTATGCCCCACCTACGACAGTAGAGGGGTATTATGTTTTTCGGTCTGTGCGTCCGTTCGTTCGTCCGTCCGTCCGTCTGTCCTGCTTCAGGTTAAAGTTTTTGGTCAAGGTAGTTTTTGATGAAGTTGAAGTCCAATCAACTTGAAACTTAGTACACATGTTTCCTATGATATGATCTTTCTATTTTTAATGCCTAATTAGAGTTTTGACCCCAATTTCACGGTCCACTGATCATAGAAAATGATAGTGCGAGTGGGGCATCCGTGTACTATGGACACATTCTTGTTTAAGGTTAATTTAGGGATAAATCACTTTCTGTAGGGAAATACAATGAAAGTGGTATGTTGAAGACACTGAATTGGAAAAAAATAGAAAATTATGCTATCTTTATTGATAAACGAAAAAGATGATACAATGTGGATATTTTAGTAGAAACATGCCATCAGTGATGTCATGGAAGTATCAAGATTGACCTCTTTGACCAAATGGTCTATTTTATAATTACCTATTAATAGATAACTTATCTACATTAAATTGTCATTTTACAAATAGATAATTGATATACCTTACACTTATACTAAAAGATATCTTACTCGCAATAATTTTTTTGTATAAGTGGTCGCAGTAAAACATATTTTTGTGGTAAAGTCCATATCTAATCGTAAATATCTAAATCTCAAAATGATCCCATTTCTGATTTTTACACTGTTTCCTTAATTGATGCATGACCAAAATCTTACAGCAAATATGTTAGACAAAATTCAAAAAATCAGATACAGATATATAATATTGTACTGGAAATATTTTGAATGTAGTTAAAAAAAAAAAGAGACTAGTATATTTTAAATGTTACTTATTGATACATAAAAGGGGTTCAAAATTAATTTTACTTTGAAGTTTGAAATATCTATTTTTGGTGGTAAAAGATACATACCATTAAGTAAATAAAAGAAAACGAACTTTTAAAATAACAAGAGGATCACTTTGATTATAGCTGGACTATTTGTGATTGAATACGCTGAAAATGCGCGTACAGAACATTTGAGTATAGTTAATAATATTGTTATAGTATAAAATATTGCAAACAGACCAAATCTTAATTTGAACTGAAAACAAATTGAGAAATATCTTTCAGGTTTTGAACAAAATAAGACCTTAGTCAACTCCTTTTAGTGTAATGAGAATACACTGCTTTTGAAAATAACACAAATGCATTTTTTGATTACAGATAATGGTTTATGGCGGTACTTTTCGCCCCTGATTCTCATGGTATGTTTGAGTGAGTCTCTATTGTCTGTTGCAGGTTGATAATTATTCTATTGCACATATGTCAGCGGTTATAGAGATTAAACGTTGTTTAAACTTACGCTGTGACCAAATGTACATTACAGTTTTGGAGATGATATAGAACAGATTTTCAATTATATTTGTAAACACATGGGAAATTCTAGAAAAAAATAAATGAAATAAACACAATATTTACCCGTTTGATCCGCAGTTGAACTGTCAACCTGAGCTGAGGTAGTATATTCGACTATCGAAGTTGGAGCTACAGTGGTGGATGATATTTCTGGAGTGGAAGTAGCAGCTAGAAATTAAAACGAAATGTATAATCTATCCTCATAAAATACGAAATGGATGCTTACATCGATTGTTTGTACTGCGTTAAGATTAAGTTTTGTTAGCCAGAAATTTGGAAACTATTTTCTAAAAGACATAAAATTATTTCCATTATAAGTATTTAGACACACAATTAAACTAAATATCAACTCAAAACAATATTATTTATATACAATAAAATATAACTACCAAAATTTATTGACAGGGTTTCAGAGGCGTTAGTTTGTGTTGCAGTGGTAGTCAGAGTCAGAGTTGTAGAATGTTTTGCTGTTGTAGATTGGAGTTCCGTGCTTAAAATTTGTACGAAAGTTGTAGTAAGCAAATCATTTGTAGTTATGTGGTCTTCTGTTGTAGAAGTAAGTGCTTCAGTGGTTGAAGTTTGTTTTGCAGTTGGAGTAGAATCTTCAGTTAACGTTGTTGTAACTGCTTCCAATGTAGACGTGTTCTCTACCGTCGTCGTTTGAAGATCTGCTATTGTCTCTCTAGCAGGTGTAGAGGTAGCTTCAGAAGAAGTCATTTGTTTCGATGTTGTAAAAGGAGTTTCATTAGTGGTATCGATTCTTTGATGGTTACCTGTAGTGTGTTTTGCAGTTGGAGTTGAGGCATAAACAGTTGTAGATTGTTTTTCAACTGTAGTGAAAGCAGTACTATTTTTTTCCTCTACACTTGTAGTAATAGCTTCTGTTGAAGTAGTGGCCTCTATTGTTGAAGTTGGAGCTTCTTTTGCTGTTTTTCTTGCAGTTGTTGAGATAACCTCTGCAGTGGTAGTTTGTTCGCCACTTGTAGTTTCTTCGGATGTTGTGTTTAGTTCGGAACTTGTTGTTTCTCCTGCTGTTGTAGTTTTGACTATAGTCGTAACAGCTTCTATTGTTGAAGTTTCGGTATTGGAAATTGCTTCAGTAGTTTGAGTACAAGCTTCATTGGACGAAGTTGTTACTGGTTCCTTTTGTGTCGTGGCCTCTATCATCGTAGTATGAATCTTTATTGTTGTATCATTTGCAGTAGTAGAGAAAGATTCAGAAGTGGAATATTGTTGAGCAGTTGTAATAGGAGATTCAGTAGTTGTAGTTTGTTGTGTAGTGGCAGTATTATCTGCTGTTGTTGTCTGAACTAGAGAAGTTGTTCTTCGTTCTGTCGTTGTAGATGGGAGCTCAGACGTAGTGGTTTTATCGGAAGTCGTAGTCGAAACTTCAGTACTAGATGTTTCCTCTATACTTGTAGTTACACCCTCTGTTAAAGTAGTGGCCTTCATTGTGGAAGTTTGGGCGTTAGTTGTTTTTAGTTCTGCAGTTGTAGAGAGAGCTGCAGTAGTGGAAGTTTGTTCTGCAGCTACAGAAGTTTCTTCAATTGGGGTTGATTGATCAAATGTTGTTGTGACCGCTTCCATTGTAGTAGAAGCCTCTGTCGTCGTAGTTTGAATATCTCTTGTTGTTTCACTAGCAGTTGTAGACAAAGATTCAGAAGAGGAATATTGTTGAGTAGTTGTAGTAGGAGTATCAGAAGTGGTAGTGTGTTGTGCACTCATAGTTTCCTCAGCTGTTGTGGTTTGGACATGAGAAGTTGTAATTTGTTCCTCGGTTGTAGTCGGGGGCTCAGACGTTATGGTTTTATCTGAAGTCGGTGTCGAAGCTTCAGTACTAGTTGTCTCCTCTACACTTGCAGTCACAGCTTCTGTTGTTGTAGTGGCCTCCATTGTTGAAGTTGGAGCTTCTTTTGCTGTTTTTCTTGATGTTGTTACAAGAGCTCCTGAAGTGGTAGTTTGTTCGGCATTTGTAGTTTCTTCAGCTGCTGTATTTTGTTCGGAACTTGTTGTTTCTCCTGCTGTTGTAGTTAGGACTACATTTGTTGTAACAGCTTTTGTTGAAGTAGAGGCCTCTATTGTTGAAGTTTCGGTATTGGAAATTGCTTCAGTAGTTGGAGTACGAGCTTCAATGGACGATGTTTGCTCGGAATTTGTAACTGGTTCCTTTTGTGTCGTGGCCTCTATCGTCGTAGTATGAATCTCTATTGTTGTTTTATTTGCAGTAGTAGAGAAAGATTCAGAAGAGGAATATTGTTGAGCAGTTGTAAAAGGAGTATCAGTAGTTGTAGTTTGTTGTGCAGTGGCAGTATAATCTGCTGTTGTTGTCTGAACTAAAGAAGTTGTTCTTCGTTCTGTCGTTGTAGATGGGACCTCAGACTTAGTGGTTTTGCCGGAAGTCGTAGTAGATGCTAGAGCACTAGATGTTTCCTCTATACTTGTAGTAACACCTTCTGTTGAAAAAGGGGCTATCATTCTGGAAGTTTGGGCTTTAGTTGTTGTTACTTCTGCAGTTTTAGAGAGAGCTTCAGTGGTGGAAATTTGTCTTACAGTTACAGAAGTAGCTTCAATTGGGGTTGATTGATCAAATGTTGTTGTGACCGCTTCCATTGTAGTAGAAGCCTCTGTCGTCGTAGTTTGAATATCTCTTGTTGTTTCACTAGCAGTTGTAGACAAAGATTCAGAAGAGGAATATTGTTGAGCAGTTGTAGTAGGATTATCAGAAGTGGTAGTGTGTTGTCCACTTATAGTTTCTTCAGCCGTTGTGGTTTGGACATGAGAAGTTGTCATTTGTTCTTCGGTTGTAGTCGGGGGCTCAGACGTTGTGGTTTTATCTGAAGTCGTTGTCGAAGCTTCAATACTAGTTTTCTCCTCTACACTTGTAGTAACAGCTTCTGTTGTTGTGGCCTCTATTGTTGAAGTTGGAGCTTCTTTTGCTGTTTTTCTTGATGTTGTTACAAGAGCTCCTGAAGTGGTAGTTTGTTCGGCATTTGTAGTTTCTTCAGCTGCTGTATTTTGTTCGGAACTTGTTGTTTCTCCTGCTGTTGTAGTTAGGACTACATTTGTTGTAACAGCTTTTGTTGAAGTAGAGGCCTCTATTGTTGAAGTTTCGGTATTGGAAATTGCTGCAGTAGTTGGAGTACGAGCTTCAATGGACGATGTTTGCTCGGAATTTGTAACTGGTTCCTTTTGTGTCGTTGCCTCTATCGTCGTAGTATGAATCTCTATTGTTGTTTTATTTGCAGTAGAAGAGAAAGATTCAGAAGTGGAATATTGTTGAGCAGTTGTAATAGGAGTTTCAGTAGTTGTAGTTTGTTGCGTAGTGGAAGTATCATCTGCTGTTGTTGTCTGAACTAGAGAAGTTGTTCTTCGTTCTGTCGTTGTAGATGGGAGCTCAGACGTAGTGGTTTTATCGGAAGTCGTAGTCGAAGCTTCAGTACTAGATGTTTCCTCTATACTTGTAGTTACATCCTCTGTTGAAGTAGTGGCCTTCATTGTGGAAGTTTGGGCGTAAGCTTTTGTTAGTTCTGCATTTGTAGAGAGAGCTTCAGTAGTGGAAGTTTGTTCTGCAGTTACAGAAGTTTCTTCAATTGGGGTTGATTGATCAAATGTTGTTGTGACCGCTTCCATTGTAGTAGAAGCCTCTGTCGTCGTAGTTTGAATATCTCTTGTTGTTTCACTAGCAGATGTAGACAAAGATTTAGAAGAGGAATATTGTTCAGTAGTTGTAGTAGGAGTATCAGAAGTGGTAGTGTGTTGTGCACTCATAGTTTCCTCAGCTGTTGTGGTTTGGACATGAGAAGTTGTAATTTGTTCTTCGGTTGTAGTTGGGGGCTCAGACGTTATGGTTTTATCTGAAGTCGTTGTCGAAGCTTCAGTACTAGTTGTCTCCTCTACACTTGTAGTAACAGCTTCTGTTGTTGTTGTGGCCTCTATTGTTGAAGTTGGAGCTTCTTTTGCTGTTTTTCTTGATGTTGTTACAAGAGCTCCTGAAGTGGTAGTTTGTTCGCCATTTGATGTTTCTTCGGCTGCTGTATTTTGTTCGGAACTTGTTGTTTCTCCTGCTGTTGTAGTTAGGACTACATTTGTTGTAACAGCTTTTGTTGAAGTAGAGGCCTCTCTTGTTGAAGTTTCGGTATTGGAAATTGCTTCAGTAGTTGGAGTACGAGCTTCAATGGACGATGTTTCCTCGGAATTTGTAACTGGTTCCTTTTGTGTCGTGGCTTCTATCGTCGTAGTATGAATCTCTATTGTTGTTTTATTAGCTGTAGTAGAGAAAGATTCAGAAGTGGAATATTGTTGAGCAGTTGTAATAGGAGTTTCAGTAGTTGTAGTTTGTTGTGTAGTGGCAGTATTATCTGCTGTTGTTGTCTGAACTAAAGAAGTTGTTTTTCGTTCTGTCGTTGTAGATGGGACCTCAGACTTAGTGGTTTTACCGGAAGTCGTAGTAGAAGCTAGAGCACTAGATGTTTCCTCTATACTTGTAGTAACACCTTCTGTTGAAGTAGTGGCTATCATTGTGGAAGTTTGGGCTTTAGTTGTTGTTACTTCTGCAGTTTTAGAGAGAGCTTCAGTGGTGGAAATTTGTCCTACAGTTACAGAAGTAGCTTCAATTGGGGTTGATTGATCAAATGTTGTTGTGACCGCTTCCATTGTAGTAGAAGCCACTGTCGTCGTAGTTTGAATATCTCTTGTTGTTTCACTAGCAGTTGTAGACAAAGATTCAGAAGAGGAATATTGTTCAGTAGTTGTAGTAGGAGTATCAGAAGTGGTAGTGTGTTGTCCACTTATAGTTTCTTCAGCCGTTGTGGTTTGGACATGAGAAGTCGTAATTTGTTCTTCGGTTGTAGTCGGGGGCTCAGACGTTATGGTTTTATCTGAAGTCGTTGTCGAAGCTTCAGTACTAGTTGTCTCCTCTACACTTGTAGTAACAGCTTCTGTTGTTGTTGTGGCCTCTATTGTTGAAGTTGGAGCTTCTTTTGCTGTTTTTCTTGATGTTGTTACAAGAGCTCCTGAAGTGGTAGTTTGTTCGCCATTTGTAGTTTCTTCAGCTGCTGTATTTTGTTCGGAACTTGTTGTTTCTCCTGCTGTTGTAGTTAGGACTACATTTGTTGTAACAGCTTTTGTTGAAGTAGAGGCCTCTATTGTTGAAGTTTCGGTATTGGAAATTGCTTCAGTAGTTGGAGTACGAGCTTCAATGGACGTTGTTTGCTCGGAATTTGTAACTGGTTCCTTTTGTGTCGTTGCCTCTATCGTCGTAGTATGAATCTCTATTGTTGTTTTATTTGCAGTAGAAGAGAAAGATTCAGAAGTGGAATATTGTTGAGCAGTTGTAATAGGAGTTTCAGTAGTTGTAGTTTGTTGCGTATTGGCAGTATCATCTGCTGTCGTTGTCTGAACTAGAGAAGTTGTTCTTCGTTCTGTCGTTGTAGATGGGACCTCAGACGTAGTGGTTTTATCGGAAGTCGTAGTCGAAGCTTCAGTACTAGATGTTTCCTCTATACTTGTAGTTACACCCTCTGTTAAAGTAGTGGCCTTCATTGTGGAAGTTTGGGCGTTAGTTGTTTTTAGTTCTGCAGTTGTAGAGAGAGCTTCAGTAGTGGAAGTTTGTTCTGCAGTTACAGAAGTTTCTTCAATTGGGGTTGATTGATCAAATGTTGTTGTGACCGCTTCCATTGTAGTAGAAGCCTCTGTCGTCGTAGTTTGAAAATCTCTTGTTGTTTCACTAGCAGTTGTAGACAAAGATTTAGAAGAGGAATATTGTTGAGTAGTTGTAGTAGGAGAATCAGAAGTGGTAGTGTGTTGTGCACTCATAGTTTCCTCAGCTGTTGTGGTTTGGACATGAGAAGTTGTAATTTGTTCTTCGGTTGTAGTTGGGGGCTCAGACGTTATGGTTTTATCTGAAGTCGTTGTCGAAGCTTCAATACTAGTTGTCTCCTCTACTCTTGTAGTCACAGCTTCTGTTGTTGTTGTGGCCTCTATTGTTGAAGTTGGAGCTTCTTTTGCTGTTTTTCTTGATGTTGTTACAAGAGCTCCTGAAGTGGTAGTTTGTTCGCCATTTGAAGTTTTTTCAGCTGCTGTATTTTGTTCGGAACTTGTTGTTTCTCCTGCTGTTGTAGTTAGGACTATATTTGTTGTAACAGCTTTTGTTGAAGTAGAGGCCTCTATTGTTGAAGTTTCGGTATTGGAAATTGCTGCAGTAGTTGGAGTACGAGCTTCAATGGACGATGTTTGCTCGGAATTTGTAACTGGTTCCTTTTGTGTCGTGGCCTCTATTGTCGTAGTATGAATCTCTATTGTTGTTTTATTTGCAGTAGTAGAGAAAGATTCAGAAGTGGAATATTGTTGAGCAGTTGTAATAGGAGTTTCAGTAGTTGTAGTTTGTTGTGTAGTGGCAGTATCATCTGCTGTTGTTGTCTGAACTAAAGAAGTTGTTCTTCGTTCTGTCGTTGTAGATGGGACCTCATACTTAGTGGTTTTACCGGAAGTCGTAGTAGAAGCTAGAGTACTAGATGTTTCCTCTATACTTGTAGTAACACCTTCTGTTGAAGTAGTGGCTATCATTGTGGAAGTTTGGGCTTTAGTTGTTGTTACTTCTGCAGTTTTAGAGAGAGCTTCAGTGGTGGAAATTTGTCCTACAGTTACAGAAGTAGCTTCAATTGGGTTTGATTGATCAAATGTTGGTGTGACCGCTTCCATTGTAGTAGAAGCCTCTGTCGTCGTAGTTTGAATATCTCTTGTTGTTTCACTAGCAGTTGTAGACAAAGATTCAGAAGAGGAATATTGTTGAGCAGTTGTAGTAGGATTATCAGAAGTGGTAGTGTGTTGTCCACTTATAGTTTCTTCAGCCGTTGTGGTTTGGACATGAGAAGTTGTAATTTGTTCTTCGGTTGAAGTCGGGGGCTCAGACGTTATGGTTTTATCTGAAGTCGTTGTCGAAGCTTCAGTACTAGTTGTCTCCTCTACACTTGTAGTAACAGCTTCTGTTGTTGTTGTGGCCTCTATTGTTGAAGTTGGAGCTTCTTTTGCTGTTTTTCTTGATGTTGTTACAAGAGCTCCCGAAGTGGTAGTTTGTTCGCCATTTGAAGTTTTTTCAGATGCTGTATTTTGTTCGGAACTTGTTGTTTCTCCTGCTGTTGTAGTTAGGACTACATTTGTTGTAACAGCTTTTGTTGAAGTAGAGGCCTCTATTGTTGAAGTTTCGGTATTGGAAATTGCTGCAGTAGTTGGAGTACGAGCTTCAATGGACGATGTTTCCTCGGAATTTGTAACTGGTTCCTTTTGTGTCGTTGCCTCTATCGTCGTAGTATGAATCTCTATTGTTGTTTTATTTGCAGTAGAAGAGAAAGATTCAGAAGTGGAATATTGTTGAGCAGTTGTAATAGGAGTATCAGTAGTTGTAGTTTGTTGCGTAGTGGCAGTATCATCTGCTGTTGTTGTCTGAACTAGAGAAGTTGTTCTTCGTTCTGTCGTTGTAGATGGGAGCTCAGACGTAGTGGTTTTAGCGGAAGTCGTAGTCGAAGCTTCAGTACTAGATGTTTCCTCTATACTTGTAGTTACACCCTCTGTTAAAGTAGTGGCCTTCATTGTGGAGGTTTGGGCGTTAGTTGTTTTTAGTTCTGCAGTTGTAGAGAGAGCTTCAGTAGTGGAAGTTTGTTCTGCAGTTACAGAAGTTTCTTCAATTGGGGTTGATTGATCAAATGTTGTTGTGACCGCTTCCATTGTAGTAGAAGCCTCTGTCGTCGTAGTTTGAATATCTCTTGTTGTTTCACTAGCAGTTGTAGACAAAGATTTAGAAGAGGAATATTGTTGAGTAGTTGTAGTAGGAGAATCAGAAGTGGTAGTGTGTTGTGCACTCATAGTTTCCTCAGCTGTTGTGGTTTGGACATGAGAAGTTGTAATTTGTTCTTCGGTTGTAGTTGGGGGCTCAGACGTTATGGTTTTATCTGAAGTCGTTGTCGAAGCTTCAATACTAGTTGTCTCCTCTACTCTTGTAGTCACAGCTTCTGTTGTTGTTGTGGCCTCTATTGTTGAAGTTGGAGCTTCTTTTGCTGTTTTTCTTGATGTTGTTACAAGAGCTCCTGAAGTGGTAGTTTGTTCGCCATTTGAAGTTTTTTCAGCTGCTGTATTTTGTTCGGAACTTGTTGTTTCTCCTGCTGTTGTAGTTAGGACTATATTTGTTGTAACAGCTTTTGTTGAAGTAGAGGCCTCTATTGTTGAAGTTTCGGTATTGGAAATTGCTGCAGTAGTTGGAGTACGAGCTTCAATGGACGATGTTTGCTCGGAATTTGTAACTGGTTCCTTTTGTGTCGTGGCCTCTATTGTCGTAGTATGAATCTCTATTGTTGTTTTATTTGCAGTAGTAGAGAAAGATTCAGAAGTGGAATATTGTTGAGCAGTTGTAATAGGAGTTTCAGTAGTTGTAGTTTGTTGTGTAGTGGCAGTATCATCTGCTGTTGTTGTCTGAACTAAAGAAGTTGTTCTTCGTTCTGTCGTTGTAGATGGGACCTCATACTTAGTGGTTTTACCGGAAGTCGTAGTAGAAGCTAGAGTACTAGATGTTTCCTCTATACTTGTAGTAACACCTTCTGTTGAAGTAGTGGCTATCATTGTGGAAGTTTGGGCTTTAGTTGTTGTTACTTCTGCAGTTTTAGAGAGAGCTTCAGTGGTGGAAATTTGTCCTACAGTTACAGAAGTAGCTTCAATTGGGGTTGATTGATCAAATGTTGTTGTGACCGCTTCCATTGTAGTAGAAGCCTCTGTCGTCGTAGTTTGAATATCTCTTGTTGTTTCACTAGCAGTTGTAGACAATGATTCAGAAGAGGAATATTGTTGAGCAGTTGTAGTAGGATTATCAGAAGTGGTAGTGTGTTGTCCACTTATAGTTTCTTCAGCTGTTGTGGTTTGGACATGAGAAGTTGTAATTTGTTCTTCGGTTGTAGTCGGGGGCTCAGACGTTATGGTTTTATCTGAAGTCGTTGTCGATGCTTCAGTACTAGTTGTCTCCTCTACACTTGTAGTAACAGCTTCTGTTGTTGTTGTGGCCTCTATTGTTAAAGTTGGAGCTTCTTTTGCTGTTTTTCTTGATGTTGTTGAAAAAGCTCCTGAAGTGGTAGTTTGTTCGTCACCTGTAGTTTGTCCAACTGTTGTATTTTGTTCGGCACTTGTTATTTCTCCTGCTGTTGTAGTTTGGACTAGAATTGTTGTACCAGATTCTGTTAAAGTAGTTGCCTCTATTGTAAATTTAGAAAGCAAACAAAAAAGTTTAGTTTGAAAATGAAAAACAAAATTTGAAAGTAAAAAATATCTTAGTCAATGATGAAATTAAAGACTATTTTTAATTGAGTAAAAAAATAGGTTTTGGATGAAAAAGTCTGTTTAGGTTTGACCTTTTATATGTGATGCCCTTAAATAGGTAAAATCTGGTTTTAAATATCAACATAATATGTTTATTGGGTTTCGGATTGAAAGCAAAAGCCACTGACATCAAGGTTTTCAGTGTCAAGTGTTAGAATAAGTGAATAAGGCAGTGCATGATGTTGTTTTTACATAGTAGCAAAACAAAAATGTAATTTTAAAGCAATTTTCACTTTAACATTTTTTAATATTATTGTTCAATGCACAAACATGTGATGACGCTTTGATAATCCGGCTTTGATTTGTATTCGAAATTTCGCTAGCATTGTATTTATATGTTTGTGAAAAGTGTTTAAAATGAAGCATAAAAGTGTGATAGCATTTTTGGTGATCAAGCTTTAATTATTTTTACACAATTCTGTTTTAGTATTGGAGAATATTGTAGTAAAAATGCACAGGCGTACAGATGTGTTGGAGGTTTTTTTCCCCTGCTATAAGTTTATCATAGAAATCTGTTTGGTCATTGTTGGATATTGTTATGACAGTACACAACAGGCAGAAACAAAAATCTGAAACCGTTTTGGTGATCAAATTTATCACAAAAAATGGATTTATCAAAAGTTGGATATCGTTATGTGTACTATAAACATAAAAACTGTGATGCCCTTTTTTGTGAACTAGCCGTAATTTCATAATCATCATACACAATTTTGCTTAATTGTCATCGGATATTGTTGAGGGAAGTGTAATCCATGTGTGATAACGTTTTGTTCAGTTTGAACCTTTATAATACATTTTCTTTACATTAAGGAAATTAAAAAGACGACTATAAGGTGACGCTTCAAAAAATGACTTTAAATGTCATGTTAGTTTTTTGTTTATATCTAACCATATTAAACATTTGAACTATCAACCTGGGTAAAATAAATATAGGCGACTACACATATTACATTTTGAAATGTGAATCATGAAACATGCACTTCATGTGATATTTATATAAAAATTTGTCTATTTTTAGTTTGCTATTTAACGATGAAACGTTAAAACAGAGTTTGTAGCAAGCTCGATTACTTAAAAAATGGCCTGGTCCATGACATGCACTATCAATATAACAAATACAAACTACAAAATCAGAGGCTTGCAGCGGTCACCAAGCTGTAATATGATCACACAATCTTGCTAAAGTTAGTAAAACATGCATCAGTAATAAGGCTATTCAGTCTTTCGAAGCTATGATATTTTAATCTGCCACCATGGAAAACATATAACACATGTGTAATTTGTGTAAATGATTAGGTGTTCCTCGCCATATTATGCACTGATACAAACGTATAGGATATCTATTAACAAAAATTCCAGCAAAACATCTACTATGCAACTATGTTATTCATAATATTCTGCAACTATGTCAATATAAAACACCTGTACAGTAACTTAGTCATTCAGAATACAGTACACATGGAATAATGTCATTCATAATTAACCTGCAACCATATATCATTAATAATACACATGAACACCAGTAAGTAGTTTGTGCGTATGTTAATGACGAAACATATATATTAGTTTAAGTCCATATATTTTACACATGAAGTCGCAGAGGAAATGATATCACATAACAAATATCTAAACAAAACAAGGCGATAAATATAGATTCCACCACTGCAACAAATGTGTTACGATATTTCTCCACTCGAGACAGTTAAATTTTAATATTTAAAGCGCGAGGCTTGCCGAGCTTTTTAAATAATTAAAATTTAAATGTTGAGAGTGGAGAAATATCGTAATACACGAGATATAGTGGTGGAATCTGTTTCTCTAATGATTTTTATCCTTCCCTTTCAAAGATTTGCAGAAAGTTGTGTTCTTTATATGTGACGTCATCAGTCATGGTCGCCTTTTTTCATGACGTCAAAATAGGAAATTCAGAAGAAACCAAGAAAATTTGACGTCATAATTAAATTTCATTTGCCGAGAACAGATATTTCACTAGTGAGGAGAAATATTTTTCTCACACCGATCAAGGAATGTGAAAATAGCACAAAAATTTAAGAACTTATTTTCTTCACTTAAATTTCTTTTCATGATACAGAAATATGTGTGTGACATACTTAGTACTGTAGATTCAGAAATGTGAGATGTATTTTTAATGAGACAAAGACGGGATATGGGTCAGATTGTATTCTTCCAAACTACCATCTAGTTGCAATTAATAATATGCATAATTCAATAAAAGATACATGTTTCTAAAGCGATTTAATGAATTTCGCATTTCATTTCACTGCTGTCTACGATAATAATGCCTGAAAAATTTATATCATTTTTATAAGATAATGGCTTACATTTTTGTACTAAAATTCTTTAAATGTGGTTTCGACTGAACATAAAATAGTTCAATGAAGATGCTGCATTATATTGATTCATTATTGAAAAGTCATCTTATTTAGAAAACTAACATGCATATAAAATTACTTACAAATACATATTCATTCACTATTGGTAAAATTTATCGTAATTTTCATTTTATACAAATTGTTGAATATTGAAGTTAAATATGAATTCCATGTAATATACCGATGTCATTTATTATACATGCATTAGCATTATTATAGATTGAATGCGTGAATTCTTGATTTCGAAATTGTTTAGTGACCTTTAGTGCAATGATAATTCATCAAAGTCAACAAAAATACTTTTGATCAAAGCGTCCAAACAAATAAATTATCGTAATTTCAAATTAAATTGTATAATAGCAAATCATAGCACGGATTATTATGATAAGTACATGGTAAATGTTGTAAAAGGTGGAGGTTCTATAGGCCTAAGAAAATGAAATATTACAATACAATATGACAATACCAGGTGATATTGGCTTTAATGTGATTTTGATATACGTGTATGTGCAAAGGTCAGAATGAAAGATCTAAATAGTGCGAATATTCACTGAGATTTTACGGTCGAAAAATACTAGTTTTTCAACAAAAAATGTAGATTAGCATATTTGACACATCTTTGTTAATGGAAAATATTGAGCACATGCAAGTACTACAACATATTTACATGAAAGGAGTTGTTCATATGAACAAACATTTTGGTACTTGGTTTAGTTGGTATTTGCACGTGCTTTTTGATTTGCAGGTCCGAAAAGTATCGCAAATTGACAAAATTCTGAGCAGAACGGCCTAATCTGTGATGTCACAACTACATTTAATGTGACGTCATGGATAGAAAACTAGATAACAATCGAAACCTTAAATAAAATTTTTTTTGGTGAATTCTAGCTTTACAACCCTTTCAATCCGCATTTTTTTTTCGAAAGCTTGAACCTGAACCTGAAGTTATAATTTGATTCGTGGTATTGTCCTTCCTGACAGGAAGTACTGGTTTGCTGCAAAGAAAAGCTGTTGCCAGAAGTAGATCTAAAACTTTTTTATTATTCAATATGCAAATAATTTCAGTAGCTTGATAATCGAGTTTTTGTTAGACGAATGTAGGAAGCAAAGATGCCTTACGTAGGCAATAAATTGAATAAACCAAAACTACATGAAATCTATCATAGAATATCTACTTCATGAAATATTTCATTATTGCAGAGAGCCAGTGGGACCAGGACTACTTCTCAAGAAGAGAAATATTATAACGTTTCAAGTAAATTCGAGCTTTCGAAAAAGACTTTCTTGAAATTACTAAAAAAAAAGTATATACATGCAACAAAACAAATTCTTTTCTTACATATATAGTATAAGCATGCCCTAGCAGGAAACTACCATCACAATAAGAATGAGCAAAAATGAAATAGTTGAAATTTTCGATGTTGAGTTTAGCAAGCACAATATGTTACATTTTTTTAATATTCTAGACAACTAATTATCCAGTTTATAGTCTAGACAACTAATTATCCTGTATCTGATTCTTTAAATGCCACAATTGTTGTAGCTGAACAGCCGAGAATTTCTATCCCGAGAATCTATAATGATAATAGTGCCATAATATTGGACAATAATTCATTTTGATATGTCTTAGACGACTTAAACCTAAATTCAACAAATTTCGCAAGTTATTTTATAATTATATTTCAAAGTTTTGTAACTTAGAAAAACAAAAAGGTGACGGATCCTAAAAGCGATTAGACGATACAAATCATCACTGTAAAGCTTCATGCCATATTTGAATAATTTTTTGTTCTTTAGTTACCGAGAAAAGTGTAACGGGAATGTTTATTGGAAGAACGGGCGGAAAAAGATTTGTACGGAAAAACGAGCGGCCGAAGAGCGATTTGTACGGACGAACGGACAAGCCGATGATCATTATAAAAAAACCAAGAAAATAACATTGGTTAAATATACACATATGAAATTCATTTTCTGTAATGAGTTTACTATTTTTATTTCTATCACAAAATATCAATAGGGATAATATAAAATATACGAACCTACTGATGTTTGTTCTGCATTTGTTGAGTGGGATTCAGAAGTAGTAGTTTGGTATTCAGTGGTAGTAGGCGTTTCAGTTGAAGTCGTTTGTTCTACTGTTGTGACTCCTTCCGGTGTAGTAGTGTTTTCTACAGTTGTAGTTTGTTCTCCTGTTCTTGTTTGTTCTGCAGTTGTTGAAAGGGCTTCAGACGTGCTCGTTTGGTATGCAGTGGTAGTAGAAGCATCAGTTGACGTCGTTTGTTCGAAAATTGTTGTATCTGCTTCCAAGGTAGTAGTGGCCTGTTCGGTCGTAGTTTGTTCCCTTGTTGTTGTTTGTTTTGCAGTTGTTGAAAGGGCTTCAGGAGTAGTAGTGTCCACTTCAAATGTAGTAGGAGCTTCAGTTGACGTTGTTTGTTCTACTGTTGTTGTATTTGCTTCCAAGGTAGTAGTGGCCTGTTCCGTCGTAGTTTGTTCCCTTGTTGTTGTTTGTTCTGCAGTTGTTGAAAGGGCTTCAGGAGTAGTAGTTTGCACTTCAGTAGTTGTAGGAGTTTCAGTTGAAGTCGTTTGTTCTATTGTTGTTGTGACTGCTTCTGTGGTAGTAGTGGTCTCTACCTTCGTAGTTGGTACTCCTGTTGTTGTTTGTTCTGCAGTTGTTGAAATGCCTTCAGAAGTGCTTATTTTGTATGCAGTGGTAGTAGGAGCATCAGTTGACGTTGTTTGTTCTAATATTGTTGTATCTGCTTCCGACGTTGTTGTTACTGCTTCCTTTGTAGAAGTTGCCTCTTTCGTCGTAGTTGGCGTTCCTGTTGTTTTTTGTTCTGCAGTTGTTGAAAGCGCTTCAGAAGTAGTAGCTTGCTCTACAGTGGTAGTAGGAGTTTCAGTTGAAGTCGTTTGTTCTATTGTTGTTGTGACTGCTTCTGGGGTAGTAGTGGTCTCTACTGTCGTAGTTGGTACTCCTGTTGTTGTTTGTTCTGCAGTTGTAGAAAGCGCTTCAGAAGTGCTCGTTTGGTATGCAGTGGTAGTAAGAGCATCAGTTGACGTTGTTTGTTTGATCGTTGTTGTGACTGCTTCTTGGGTAGTAGTTGCCTCTACGGTCGTAGCTGGTACTCCTGTTGTTGTTTGTTCTGCAGTTGTTGAAATGGCTTCAGAAGTTCTCGTTTGGTATGCAGTGGTAGTAGGAGCAACAGTTGACGTTGATTGTTCTATTGTAGTTGTATCTGCTTCTGGCGTTGTTGTAAATGCTTCCGTTGTAGAAGTTGCCTCTTTCGTCGTAGTTGGCGTTCCTGTTGTTGTTTGTTCTGCAGTTGTTGAAAGCGCTTCAGAAGTAGTAGCTTGCTCTACAGTGGTAGTAGGAGTTTCAGTTGACGTTGTTTGTTCTACTGTTGTTGTGACCACTTCTGTTGTAGCAGTGGCCTGTTCTGTCGTAGTTTGTGCCCCTGTTGTCGTCTGATCTACAGTTGTTGAGAGAATTTCAGAAGTTGTTTGCTCTGCAGTGGTTGTTGGAGCTTCAGTTGACGTTGTTTGTTCTACAGTAGTTGTTACTGCTTCCGTTGTAGAAGTTGTTACTTTCGTCGTAGTTGGCGCTCCTCTTGATGTTTGTTCTGCAGTTGTTGAAAGCGCTTCAGACGTAGTAGCTTGCTCTACAGTTGTAGGAAGAGTTTCAGTTGAAGTCGTTTGTTTTATTGTTGTTGTGACTGCTTCTGGGGTAGTAGAGGCCTCTACCGTCGTAGTTGGTACTCCTGTTGTTGTTTGTTCTGCAGTTGTTGAAATGGCTTCAGAAGTGCTCGTTTGGTATGCAGTGGTAGTAGGAGCATCAGTTGATGTTGTTTTTTCTACTGTTGTTGTATCTGCTTCCGAGGTAGTAGTGGCCTGTTCCATCGTAGTTTGTGCCCTTGTTGTAGTTTGTTCTGCAGTTGTTGAAAGGGCTTCAGGAGAAGTAGTTTGCTCTTCAGTGGTAGTAGGAGCTTCAGTTGACGTTGTTTGTTCAACTGTTGTTGTGACCACTTCTGTTGTAGCAGTGGCCTGTTCTGTCGTTCTTTGTACCCCTGTTGTCGTCTGATCTGCAGTTGTTGAGAGAATTTCAGAAGTTGTTGTTTGCTCTGCAGTGGTTGTTGGAGCTTCAGTTGACGTTGTTTGTTCTACAGTAGTTGTTACTGCTTCCGTTGTAGAAGTTGTCTCTATCGTCGTAGTTGGCGCTCCTGTTGATGTTTGTTCTGCAGTTGTTGAAAGCGCTTCAGACGAAGTAGCTTGCTCTACAGTTGTAATAGGAGTTTCAGTTGAAGTCGTTTGTTCTATTGTTGTTGTGACTGCGTCTGGGGTAGTAGTGGCCTCTACCGTCGTAGTTGGTACTCCTGTTGTTGTTTGTTCTGCAGTTGTTGAAATGGCTGCAGAAGTGCTCGTTTGATATGCAGTGGTAGTAGGAGCATCAGTTGACATTGTTTGTTTAATCGTTGTTGTGACTGCATCTTGGGTAGTAGTGGCCTCTACCGTCGTAGTTGGTACTCCTGTTGTTGTTTGTTCTGCAGTTGTAGAAAGCCTTTCAGAAGTGCTCGTTTGATATGCAGTGGTAGTAGGAGCATCAGTTGATGTTGTTTTTTCTACTGTTGTTGTATCTGCTTCCGAGGTTGTAGCGGCCTGTTCCGTCGTAGTTTGTGCCCTTGTTGTAGTTTGTTCTGCAGTTGTTGAAAGGGCTTCAGGAGAAGTAGTTTGCTCTTCAGTGGTAGTAGGAGCTTCAGTTGACGTTGTTTGTTCTACTGTTGTTGTGACCACTTCTGTTGTAGCAGTGGCCTGTTCTGTCGTAGTTTGTGCCCCTGTTGTCGTCTGATCTGCAGTTGTTGAGAGAATTTCAGAAGTTGTTTGCTCTGCAGTGGTTGTTGGAGCTTCAGTTGACGTTGTTTGTTTTACAGTAGTTGTTACTGCTTCCGTTGTAGAAGTTGTCTCTATCGTCGTAGTTGGCGCTCCTGTTGTTGTTAGTTCTGCAGTTGTTGAAATGCCTTCAGAAGTGCTTGTTTTGTATGCAGTGGTAGTAGGAGCATCAGTTGACGTTGTTTGTTCTATTGTAGTTGTATCTGCTTCCGACGTTGTTGTTACTGCTTCCGTTGTAGAAGTTGCCTCTTTCGTCGTAGCTGGCGTTCCTGTTGTTGTTGGTTCTGCAGTTATTGAAAGCGCTTCAGAAGTAGTAGCTTTCACTACAGTGGTAGTAGGAGTTTCAGTTGAAGTCGTTTGTTCTATTGTTGTTGTGACTGCTTCTGGGGTAGTAGTGGCCTCTACCGTCGTAGTTGGTACTCCTGTTGTTGTTTGTTCTGCAGTTGTAGAAAGCCTTTCAGAAGTGTTCGTTTGATATGCAGTGGTAGTAGGAGCATCAGTTGACGTTGTTTGTTCTATTGTTGTTGTGACTGCTTCTGGTGAAATAGTGGCTTCTACTGTCGTAGTTAGTACTCCTGTTGTTGTTTGTTCTGCAGTTGTTGAAATGGCTTCAGAAGTGCTCGTTTTGTATGCAGAGGTAATAGGATCATCAGTTGATGTTGTTTTTTCTACTGTTGTTGTATCTGCTTCCGAGGTTGTAGCGGCCTGTTCCGTCGTAGTTTGTGCCCTTGTTGTAGTTTGTTCTGCAGTTGTTGAAAGGGCTTCAGGAGAAGTAGTTTGCTCTTTAGTGGTAGTAGGAGCTTCAGTTGAAATTGTTTGTTCTACTGTTGTTGTGACCACTTCTGTTGTAGCAGTGGCCTGTTCTGTCGTAGTTTGTGCCCCTGTTGTCGTCTGATCTGCAGTTGTTGAGAGAATTTCAGAAGTTGTTTGCTCTGCAGTGGTTGTTGGAGCTTCAGTTGACGTTGTTTGTTTTACAGTAGTTGTTACTGCTTCCGTTGTAGAAGTTGTCTCTATCGTCGTAGTTGGCGCTCCTGTTGTTGTTTGTTCTGCGGTTGTTGAAAGCGCTTCATACGTAGTAGATTGCTCTACAGTTGTAATAGGAGTTTCAGTTGAAGTCGTTTGTTCTATTGTTGTTGTGACTGCGTCTGGGGTAGTAGTGGCCTCTACCGTCGTAGTTGGTACTCCTGTTGTTGTTTGTTCTGCAGTTGTTGAAATGGCTTCAGAACTGCTCGTTTCGTATGCAGTGGTAGTAGGAGCATCAGTTGATGTTGTTTTTTCTACTGTTGTTGTATCTGCTTCCGAGGTTGTAGCGGCCTGTTCCGTCGTAGTTTGTGCCCTTGTTGTAGTTTGTTCTGCAGTTGTTGAAAGGGCTTCAGGAGAAGTAGTTTGCTCTTTAGTGGTAGTAGGAGCTTCAGTTGAAATTGTTTGTTCTACTGTTGTTGTGACCACTTCTGTTGTAGCAGTGGCCTGTTCTGTCGTAGTTTGTGCCCCTGTTGTCGTCTGATCTGCAGTTGTTGAGAGAATTTCAGAAGTTGTTTGCTCTGCAGTGGTTGTTGGAGCTTCAGTTGACGTTGTTTGTTTTACAGTAGTTGTTACTGCTTCCGTTGTAGAAGTTGTCTCTATCGTCGTAGTTGGCGCTCCTGTTGTTGTTAGTTCTGCAGTTGTTGAAATGCCTTCAGAAGTGCTTGTTTTGTATGCAGTGGTAGTAGGAGCATCAGTTGACGTTGATTGTTCTATTGTTGTTGTGACTGCTTCTGGTGAAATAGTGGCTTCTACTGTCGTAGTTGGTACTCCTGTTGTTGTTTGTTCTGCAGTTGTTGAAATGGCTTCAGAAGTGCTCGTTTTGTATGCAGTGGTAATAGGATCATCAGTTGATGTTGTTTTTTCTACTGTTGTTGTATCTGCTTCCGAGGTAGTAGTGGCCTGTTCCGTCGTTGTTTGTGCCCGTGTTGTAGTTTGTTCTGCAGTTGTTGAAAGGGCTTCAGCAGAAGTAGTTTGCTCTTCAGTGGTAGTAGGAGCTTCAGTTGATGTTGTTTGTTCTACTGTTGTTGTGACCACTTCTGTTGTAGCAGTGGCCTGTTCTGTCGTAGTTTGTGCCCCTGTTGTCGTCTGATCTGCAGTTGTTGAGGGAATTCCAGAAGTTGTTGTTTGCCCTGCAGTGGTTGTTGGAGCTTCAGTTGACGTTGTTTGTTCTACAGTAGTTGTTACAGCTTCCGTTGTAAAAGTTGTCTCTATCGACGTAGTTGGTACTCCTGTTGTTGATTGTTCTGCAGTTGTTGAAATGGCTTCAGAAGTGCTCGTTTGATATACAGTGGTAGTAGGATCTTCAGTTGACGTTGTTTGTTCTACTGTTGTTGTGGCCACTTCTGTTGTAGCAGTGGCCTGTTCTGTCGTAGTTTGTGCCCCTGTTGTCGTCTGATCTGCAGTTGTTGAGAGAATTTCAGAAGTTTTTGTTTGCTCTGCAGTGGTTGTTAGAGCTTTAGTTGACGTTGTTTGTACTACAGTGGTTGTTACTTCTTCCGTTGTAGAAGTTGTCTCTATTGTCGTAGTTAGCGCTCCTGTTGTTGTAAGTTCTGCAGTTGTTGAAAGAGCTTCAGACGTAGTAGATTGCTCTACAGTTGTAGTAGGAGTTTCAGTTGAAGTCGTTTGTTCGATTGTTGTTGTGACTGCTTCTGGGGTAGTAGTGGCCTCTACCGTCGTAGTTGGTACTCCTGTTGTTGTTTGTTCTGCAGTTGTAGAAAGCGCTTCAGCAGTGCTCGTTTGATATGCAGTGGTAGTAGGAGCATCAGTTGACATTGTTTGTTTAATCGTTGTTGTGACTGCATCTTGGGTAGTAGTGGCCTCTATCGTCGTAGTTGGTACTCCTGTTGTTGTTTGTTCTGCAGTTGTAGAAAGCCTTTCAGAAGTGCTCGTTTGATATGCAGTGGTAGTAGGAGCATCAGTTGACGTTGTTTGTTCTATTGTTGTTGTGACTGCTTCTGGTGAAGTAGTGGCTTCTACTGTCGTAGTTGGTACTCCTGTTGTTGTTTGTTCTGCAGTTGTTGAAATGGCTTCAGAAGTGCTCGTTTCGTATGCAGTGGTAATAGGATCTTCAGTTGATGTTGTTTTTTCTACTGTTGTTGTATCTGCTTCCGAGGTAGTAGTGGCCTGTTCCGTCGTTGTTTGTGCCCGTGTTGTAGTTTGTTCTGCAGTTGTTGAAAGGGCTTCAGCAGAAGTAGTTTGCTCTTCAGTGGTAGTAGGAGCTTCAGTTGACGTTGTTTGTTCTACTGTTGTTGTGACCACTTCTGTTGTAGCAGTGGCCTGTTCTGTCGTAGTTTGTGCCCCTGTTGTCGTCTGATCTGCAATTGTTGAGAGAATTCCAGAAGTTGTTGTTTGCCCTGCAGTGGTTGTTGGAGCTTCAGTTGACGTTGTTTGTTCTACAGTAGTTGTTACTGCTTCCGTTGTAAAAGTTGTCTCTATCGACGTAGTTGGTACTCCTGTTGTTGATTGTTCTGCAGTTGTTGAAATGGCTTCAGAAGTGCTCGTTTGATATACAGTGGTAGTAGGATCTTCAGTTGACGCTGTGTGTTCTACTGTTGTTGTGGCCACTTCTGTTGTAGCAGTGGCCTGTTCTGTCGTAGTTTGTGCCCCTGTTGTCGTCTGATCTGCAGTTGTTGAGAGAATTTCAGAAGTTTTTGTTTGCTCTGCAGTGGTTGTTGGAGCTTTAGTTGACGTTGTTTGTACTACAGTGGTTGTTACTTCTTCCGTTGTAGAAGTTGTCTCTATTGTCGTAGTTGGCGCTCCTGTTGTTGTTAGTTCTGCAGTTGTTGAAAGAGCTTCAGAGGTAGTAGATTGCTCTACAGTTGTAGTAGGAGTTTCAGTTGAAGTCGTTTGTTCTATTGTTGTTGTGACTGCTTCTGGGGTAGTAGTGGCCTCTACCGTCGTAGTTGGTACTCCTGTTGTTGTTTGTTCTGCAGTTGTAGAAAGCGCTTCAGCAGTGCTCGTTTGATATGCAGTGGTAGTAGTAGCATCAGTTGACATTGTTTGTTTAATCGTTGTTGTGACTGCATCTTGGGTAGTAGTGGCCTCTACCGTCGTAGTTGGTACTCCTGTTGTTGTTTGTTCTGCAGTTGTAGAAAGCCTTTCAGAAGTGCTCGTTTGATATGCAGTGGTAGTAGGAGCATCAGTTGACGTTGTTTGTTCTATTGTTGTTGTGACTGCTTCTGGTGAAGTAGTGGCTTCTACTGTCGTAGTTGGTACTCCTGTTGTTGTTTGTTCTGCAGTTGTTGAAATGGCTTCAGAAGTGCTCGTTTCGTATGCAGTGGTAATAGGATCATCAGTTGATGTTGTTTTTTCTACTGTTGTTGTATCTGCTTCCGAGGTAGTAGTGGCCTGTTCCGTCGTTGTTTGTGTCCGTGTTGTAGTTTGTTCTGCAGTTGTTGAAAGGGCTTCAGCAGAAGTAGTTTGCTCTTCAGTGGTAGTAGGAGCTTCAGTTGACGTTGTTTGTTCTACTGTTGTTGTGACCACTTCTGTTGTAGCAGTGGCCTGTTCTGTCGTAGTTTGTGCCCCTGTTGTCGTCTGATCTGCAGTTGTTGAGAGAATTCCAGAAGTTGTTGTTTGCCCTGCAGTGGTTGTTGGAGCTTCAGTTGACGTTGTTTGTTCTACAGTAGTTGTTACTGCTTCCGTTGTAAAAGTTGTCTCTATCGACGTAGTTGGTACTCCTGTTGTTGATTGTTCTGCAGTTGTTGAAATGACTTCAGAAGTGCTCGTTTGATATACAGTGGTAGTAGGATCTTCAGTTGACGTTGTTTGTTCTACTGTTGTTGTGGCCACTTCTGTTGTAGCAGTGGCCTGTTCTGTCGTAGTTTGTGCCCCTGTTGTCGTCTGATCTGCAGTTGTTGAGAGAATTTCAGAAGTTTTTGTTTGCTCTGCAGTGGTTGTTGGAGCTTTAGTTGACGTTGTTTGTACTACAGTGGTTGTTACTTCTTCCGTTGTAGAAGTTGTCTCTATTGTCGTAGTTGGCGCTCCTGTTGTTGTTAGTTCTGCAGTTGTTGAAAGAACTTCAGACGTAGTAGATTGCTCTACAGTTGTAGTAGGAGTTTCAGTTGAAGTCGTTTGTTCTATTGTTGTTGTGACTGCTTCTGGGGTAGTAGTGGCCTCTACCGTCGTAGTTGGTACTCCTGTTGTTGTTTGTTCTGCAGTTGTAGAAAGCCTTTCAGAAGTGCTCGTTTGATATGCAGTGGTAGTAGGAGCATCAGTTGACGTTGTTTGTTCTATTGTTGTTGTGACTGCTTCTGGTGAACTAGTGGCTTCTACTGTCGTTGTTGGTACTCCTGTTGTTGTTTGTTCTGCAGTTGTAGAAAGCCTTTCAGAAGTGCTCGTTTGATATGCAGTGGTAGTAGGAGCATCAGTTGACATTGTTTGTTTAATCGTTGTTGTGACTGCATCTTGGGTAGTAGTGGCCTCTACCGTCGTAGTTGGTACTCCTGTTGTTGTTTGTTCTGCAGTTGTAGAAAGCCTTTCAGAAGTGCTCGTTTGATATGCAGTGGTAGTAGGAGCATCAGTTGACGTTGTTTGTTCTATTGTTGTTGTGACTGCTTCTGGTGAAGTAGTGGCTTCTACTGTCGTAGTTGGTACTCCTGTTGTTGTTTGTTCTGCAGTTGTTGAAATGGCTTCAGAAGTGCTCGTTTCGTATGCAGTGGTAATAGGATCTTCAGTTGATGTTGTTTTTTCTACTGTTGTTGTATCTGCTTCCGAGGTAGTAGTGGCCTGTTCCGTCGTTGTTTGTGCCCGTGTTGTAGTTTGTTCTGCAGTTGTTGAAAGGGCTTCAGCAGAAGTAGTTTGCTCTTCAGTGGTAGTAGGAGCTTCAGTTGACGTTGTTTGTTCTACTGTTGTTGTGACCACTTCTGTTGTAGCAGTGGCCTGTTCTGTCGTAGTTTGTGCCCCTGTTGTCGTCTGATCTGCAATTGTTGAGAGAATTCCAGAAGTTGTTGTTTGCCCTGCAGTGGTTGTTGGAGCTTCAGTTGACGTTGTTTGTTCTACAGTAGTTGTTACTGCTTCCGTTGTAAAAGTTGTCTCTATCGACGTAGTTGGTACTCCTGTTGTTGATTGTTCTGCAGTTGTTGAAATGGCTTCAGAAGTGCTCGTTTGATATACAGTGGTAGTAGGATCTTCAGTTGACGCTGTGTGTTCTACTGTTGTTGTGGCCACTTCTGTTGTAGCAGTGGCCTGTTCTGTCGTAGTTTGTGCCCCTGTTGTCGTCTGATCTGCAGTTGTTGAGAGAATTTCAGAAGTTTTTGTTTGCTCTGCAGTGGTTGTTGGAGCTTTAGTTGACGTTGTTTGTACTACAGTGGTTGTTACTTCTTCCGTTGTAGAAGTTGTCTCTATTGTCGTAGTTGGCGCTCCTGTTGTTGTTAGTTCTGCAGTTGTTGAAAGAGCTTCAGAGGTAGTAGATTGCTCTACAGTTGTAGTAGGAGTTTCAGTTGAAGTCGTTTGTTCTATTGTTGTTGTGACTGCTTCTGGGGTAGTAGTGGCCTCTACCGTCGTAGTTGGTACTCCTGTTGTTGTTTGTTCTGCAGTTGTAGAAAGCGCTTCAGCAGTGCTCGTTTGATATGCAGTGGTAGTAGTAGCATCAGTTGACATTGTTTGTTTAATCGTTGTTGTGACTGCATCTTGGGTAGTAGTGGCCTCTACCGTCGTAGTTGGTACTCCTGTTGTTGTTTGTTCTGCAGTTGTAGAAAGCCTTTCAGAAGTGCTCGTTTGATATGCAGTGGTAGTAGGAGCATCAGTTGACGTTGTTTGTTCTATTGTTGTTGTGACTGCTTCTGGTGAAGTAGTGGCTTCTACTGTCGTAGTTGGTACTCCTGTTGTTGTTTGTTCTGCAGTTGTTGAAATGGCTTCAGAAGTGCTCGTTTCGTATGCAGTGGTAATAGGATCATCAGTTGATGTTGTTTTTTCTACTGTTGTTGTATCTGCTTCCGAGGTAGTAGTGGCCTGTTCCGTCGTTGTTTGTGTCCGTGTTGTAGTTTGTTCTGCAGTTGTTGAAAGGGCTTCAGCAGAAGTAGTTTGCTCTTCAGTGGTAGTAGGAGCTTCAGTTGACGTTGTTTGTTCTACTGTTGTTGTGACCACTTCTGTTGTAGCAGTGGCCTGTTCTGTCGTAGTTTGTGCCCCTGTTGTCGTCTGATCTGCAGTTGTTGAGAGAATTCCAGAAGTTGTTGTTTGCCCTGCAGTGGTTGTTGGAGCTTCAGTTGACGTTGTTTGTTCTACAGTAGTTGTTACTGCTTCCGTTGTAAAAGTTGTCTCTATCGACGTAGTTGGTACTCCTGTTGTTGATTGTTCTGCAGTTGTTGAAATGACTTCAGAAGTGCTCGTTTGATATACAGTGGTAGTAGGATCTTCAGTTGACGTTGTTTGTTCTACTGTTGTTGTGGCCACTTCTGTTGTAGCAGTGGCCTGTTCTGTCGTAGTTTGTGCCCCTGTTGTCGTCTGATCTGCAGTTGTTGAGAGAATTTCAGAAGTTTTTGTTTGCTCTGCAGTGGTTGTTGGAGCTTTAGTTGACGTTGTTTGTACTACAGTGGTTGTTACTTCTTCCGTTGTAGAAGTTGTCTCTATTGTCGTAGTTGGCGCTCCTGTTGTTGTTAGTTCTGCAGTTGTTGAAAGAACTTCAGACGTAGTAGATTGCTCTACAGTTGTAGTAGGAGTTTCAGTTGAAGTCGTTTGTTCTATTGTTGTTGTGACTGCTTCTGGGGTAGTAGTGGCCTCTACCGTCGTAGTTGGTACTCCTGTTGTTGTTTGTTCTGCAGTTGTAGAAAGCCTTTCAGAAGTGCTCGTTTGATATGCAGTGGTAGTAGGAGCATCAGTTGACGTTGTTTGTTCTATTGTTGTTGTGACTGCTTCTGGTGAACTAGTGGCTTCTACTGTCGTTGTTGGTACTCCTGTTGTTGTTTGTTCTGCAGTTGTAGAAAGCCTTTCAGAAGTGCTCGTTTGATATGCAGTGGTAGTAGGAGCATCAGTTGACATTGTTTGTTTAATCGTTGTTGTGACTGCATCTTGGGTAGTAGTGGCCTCTACCGTCGTAGTTGGTACTCCTGTTGTTGTTTGTTCTGCAGTTGTAGAAAGCCTTTCAGAAGTGCTCGTTTGATATGCAGTGGTAGTAGGAGCATCAGTTGACGTTGTTTGTTCTATTGTTGTTGTGACTGCTTCTGGTGAAGTAGTGGCTTCTACTGTCGTAGTTGGTACTCCTGTTGTTGTTTGTTCTGCAGTTGTTGAAATGGCTTCAGAAGTGCTCGTTTCGTATGCAGTGGTAATAGGATCATCAGTTGATGTTGGTTTTTCTACTGTTGTTGTATCTGCTTCCGAGGTAGTAGTGGCCTGTTCCGTCGTTGTTTGTGTCCGTGTTGTAGTTTGTTCTGCAGTTGTTGAAAGGGCTTCAGCAGAAGTAGTTTGCTCTTCAGTGGTAGTAGGAGCTTCAGTTGACGTTGTTTGTTCTACTGTTGTTGTGACCACTTCTGTTGTAGCAGTGGCCTGTTCTGTCGTAGTTTGTGCCCCTGTTGTCGTCTGATCTGCAGTTGTTGAGAGAATTCCAGAAGTTGTTGTTTGCCCTGCAGTGGTTGTTGGAGCTTCAGTTGACGTTGTTTGTTCTACAGTAGTTGTTACTGCTTCCGTTGTAAAAGTTGTCTCTATCGACGTAGTTGGTAATCCTGTTGTTGATTGTTCTGCAGTTGTTGAAATGACTTCAGAAGTGCTCGTTTGATATACAGTGGTAGTAGGATCTTCAGTTGACGTTGTTTGTTCTACTGTTGTTGTGGCCACTTCTGTTGTAGCAGTGGCCTGTTCTGTCGTAGTTTGTGCCCCTGTTGTCGTCTGATCTGCAGTTGTTGAGAGAATTTCAGAAGTTTTTGTTTGCTCTGCAGTGGTTGTTGGAGCTTTAGTTGACGTTGTTTGTACTACAGTGGTTGTTACTTCTTCCGTTGTAGAAGTTGTCTCTATTGTCGTAGTTGGCGCTCCTGTTGTTGTTAGTTCTGCAGTTGTTGAAAGAGCTTCAGACGTAGTAGATTGCTCTACAGTTGTAGTAGGAGTTTCAGTTGAAGTCGTTTGTTCTATTGTTGTTGTGACTGCTTCTGGGGTAGTAGTGGCCTCTACCGTCGTAGTTGGTACTCCTGTTGTTGTTTGTTCTGCAGTTGTAGAAAGCGCTTCAGCAGTGCTCGTTTGATATGCAGTGGTAGTAGTAGCATCAGTTGACATTGTTTGTTTAATCGTTGTTGTGACTGCATCTTGGGTAGTAGTGGCCTCTACCGTCGTAGTTGGTACTCCTGTTGTTGTTTGTTCTGCAGTTGTAGAAAGCCTTTCAGAAGTGCTCGTTTGATATGCAGTGGTAGTAGGAGCATCAGTTGACGTTGTTTGTTCTATTGTTGTTGTGACTGCTTCTGGTGAAGTAGTGGCTTCTACTGTCGTAGTTGGTACTCCTGTTGTTGTTTGTTCTGCAGTTGTTGAAATGGCTTCAGAAGTGCTCGTTTCGTATGCAGTGGTAATAGGATCATCAGTTGATGTTGTTTTTTCTACTGTTGTTGTATCTGCTTCCGAGGTAGTAGTGGCCTGTTCCGTCGTTGTTTGTGTCCGTGTTGTAGTTTGTTCTGCAGTTGTTGAAAGGGCTTCAGCAGAAGTAGTTTGCTCTTCAGTGGTAGTAGGAGCTTCAGTTGACGTTGTTTGTTCTACTGTTGTTGTGACCACTTCTGTTGTAGCAGTGGCCTGTTCTGTCGTAGTTTGTGCCCCTGTTGTCGTCTGATCTGCAGTTGTTGAGAGAATTCCAGAAGTTGTTGTTTGCCCTGCAGTGGTTGTTGGAGCTTCAGTTGACGTTGTTTGTTCTACAGTAGTTGTTACTGCTTCCGTTGTAAAAGTTGTCTCTATCGACGTAGTTGGTACTCCTGTTGTTGATTGTTCTGCAGTTGTTGAAATGACTTCAGAAGTGCTCGTTTGATATACAGTGGTAGTAGGATCTTCAGTTGACGTTGTTTGTTCTACTGTTGTTGTGGCCACTTCTGTTGTAGCAGTGGCCTGTTCTGTCGTAGTTTGTGCCCCTGTTGTCGTCTGATCTGCAGTTGTTGAGAGAATTTCAGAAGTTTTTGTTTGCTCTGCAGTGGTTGTTGGAGCTTTAGTTGACGTTGTTTGTACTACAGTGGTTGTTACTTCTTCCGTTGTAGAAGTTGTCTCTATTGTCGTAGTTGGCGCTCCTGTTGTTGTTAGTTCTGCAGTTGTTGAAAGAACTTCAGACGTAGTAGATTGCTCTACAGTTGTAGTAGGAGTTTCAGTTGAAGTCGTTTGTTCTATTGTTGTTGTGACTGCTTCTGGGGTAGTAGTGGCCTCTACCGTCGTAGTTGGTACTCCTGTTGTTGTTTGTTCTGCAGTTGTAGAAAGCCTTTCAGAAGTGCTCGTTTGATATGCAGTGGTAGTAGGAGCATCAGTTGACGTTGTTTGTTCTATTGTTGTTGTGACTGCTTCTGGTGAACTAGTGGCTTCTACTGTCGTTGTTGGTACTCCTGTTGTTGTTTGTTCTGCAGTTGTAGAAAGCCTTTCAGAAGTGCTCGTTTGATATGCAGTGGTAGTAGGAGCATCAGTTGACATTGTTTGTTTAATCGTTGTTGTGACTGCATCTTGGGTAGTAGTGGCCTCTACCGTCGTAGTTGGTACTCCTGTTGTTGTTTGTTCTGCAGTTGTAGAAAGCCTTTCAGAAGTGCTCGTTTGATATGCAGTGGTAGAAGAAGCATCAGTTGACGTTGTTTGTTCTATTGTTGTTGTGACTGCTTCTGGTGAAGTAGTGGCTTCTACTGTCGTAGTTGGTACTCCTGTTGTTGTTTGTTCTGCAGTTGTTGAAATGGCTTCAGAAGTGCTCGTTTCGTATGCAGTGGTAATAGGATCATCAGTTGATGTTGTTTTTTCTACTGTTGTTGTATCTGCTTCCGAGGTAGTAGTGGCCTGTTCCGTCGTTGTTTGTGTCCGTGTTGTAGTTTGTTCTGCAGTTGTTGAAAGGGCTTCAGCAGAAGTAGTTTGCTCTTCAGTGGTAGTAGGAGCTTCAGTTGACGTTGTTTGTTCTACTGTTGTTGTGACCACTTCTGTTGTAGCAGTGGCCTGTTCTGTCGTAGTTTCTGCCCCTGTTGTCGTCTCATCTGCAGTTGTTGAGAGAATTCCAGAAGTTGTTGTTTGCCCTGCAGTGGTTGTTGGAGCTTCAGTTGACGTTGTTTGTTTTACAGTAGTTGTTACTGCTTCCGTTGTAAAAGTTGTCTCTATCGACGTAGTTGGTACTCCTGTTGTTGATTGTTCTGCAGTTGTTGAAATGACTTCAGAAGTGCTCGTTTGATATACAGTGGTAGTAGGATCTTCAGTTGACGTTGTTTGTTCTACTGTTGTTGTGGCCACTTCTGTTGTAGCAGTGGCCTGTTCTGTCGTAGTTTGTGCCCCTGTTGTCGTCTGATCTGCAGTTGTTGAGAGAATTTCAGAAGTTTTTGTTTGCTCTGCAGTGGTTGTTGGAGCTTTAGTTGACGTTGTTTGTACTACAGTGGTTGTTACTTCTTCCGTTGTAGAAGTTGTCTCTATTGTCGTAGTTGGCGCTCCTGTTGTTGTTAGTTCTGCAGTTGTTGAAAGAACTTCAGACGTAGTAGATTGCTCTACAGTTGTAGTAGGAGTTTCAGTTGAAGTCGTTTGTTCTATTGTTGTTGTGACTGCTTCTGGGGTAGTAGTGGCCTCTACCGTCGTAGTTGGTACTCCTGTTGTTGTTTGTTCTGCAGTTGTAGAAAGCCTTTCAGAAGTGCTCGTTTGATATGCAGTGGTAGTAGGAGCATCAGTTGACGTTGTTTGTTCTATTGTTGTTGTGACTGCTTCTGGTGAACTAGTGGCTTCTACTGTCGTAGTTGGTACTCCTGTTGTTGTTTGTTCTGCAGTTGTTGAAATGGCTTCAGAAGTGCTCGTTTCGTATGCAGTGGTAATAGGATCATCAGTTGATGTTGTTTTTTCTACTGTTGTTGTATCTGCTTCCGAGGTAGTAGTGGCCTGTTCCGTCGTTGTTTGTGTCCGTGTTGTAGTTTGTTCTGCAGTTGTTGAAAGGGCTTCAGCAGAAGTAGTTTGCTCTTCAGTGGTAGTAGGAGCTTCAGTTGACGTTGTTTGTTCTACTGTTGTTGTGACCACTTCTGTTGTAGCAGTGGCCTGTTCTGTCGTAGTTTGTGGCCCTGTTGTCGTCTGATCTGCAGTTGTTGAGAGAATTCCAGAAGTTGTTGTTTGCCCTGCAGTGGTTGTTGGAGCTTCAGTTGACGTTGTTTGTTCTACAGTAGTTGTTACTGCTTCCGTTGTAAAAGTTGTCTCTATCGACGTAGTTGGTACTCCTGTTGTTGATTGTTCTGCAGTTGTTGAAATGACTTCAGAAGTGCTCGTTTGATATACAGTGGTAGTAGGATCTTCAGTTGACGTTGTTTGTTCTACTGTTGTTGTGGCCACTTCTGTTGTAGCAGTGGCCTGTTCTGTCGTAGTTTGTGCCCCTGTTGTCGTCTGATCTGCAGTTGTTGAGAGAATTTCAGAAGTTTTTGTTTGCTCTGCAGTGGTTGTTGGAGCTTTAGTTGACGTTGTTTGTACTACAGTGGTTGTTACTTCTTCCGTTGTAGAAGTTGTCTCTATTGTCGTAGTTAGCGCTCCTGTTGTTGTTAGTTCTGCAGTTGTTGAAAGAGCTTCAGACGTAGTAGATTGCTCTACAGTTGTAATAGGAGTTTCAGTTGAAGTCGTTTGTTCTATTGTTGTTGTGACTGCTTCTGGGGTAGTAGTGGCCTCTACCGTCGTAGTTGGTACTCCTGTTGTTGTTTGTTCTGCAGTTGTAGAAAGCGCTTCAGCAGTGCTCGTTTGATATGCAGTGGTAGTAGGAGCATCAGTTGACATTGTTTGTTTAATCGTTGTTGTGACTGCATCTTGGGTAGTAGTGGCCTCTACCGTCGTAGTTGGTACTCCTGTTGTTGTTTGTTCTGCAGTTGTAGAAAGCCTTTCAGAAGTGCTCGTTTGATATGCAGTGGTAGAAGAAGCATCAGTTGACGTTGTTTGTTCTATTGTTGTTGTGACTGCTTCTGGTGAAGTAGTGGCTTCTACTGTCGTAGTTGGTACTCCTGTTGTTGTTTGTTCTGCAGTTGTTGAAATGGCTTCAGAAGTGCTCGTTTCGTATGCAGTGGTAATAGGATCATCAGTTGATGTTGTTTTTTCTACTGTTGTTGTATCTGCTTCCGAGGTAGTAGTGGCCTGTTCCGTCGTTGTTTGTGTCCGTGTTGTAGTTTGTTCTGCAGTTGTTGAAAGGGCTTCAGCAGAAGTAGTTTGCTCTTCAGTGGTAGTAGGAGCTTCAGTTGACGTTGTTTGTTCTACTGTTGTTGTGACCACTTCTGTTGTAGCAGTGGCCTGTTCTGTCGTAGTTTCTGCCCCTGTTGTCGTCTCATCTGCAGTTGTTGAGAGAATTCCAGAAGTTGTTGTTTGCCCTGCAGTGGTTGTTGGAGCTTCAGTTGACGTTGTTTGTTCTACAGTAGTTGTTACTGCTTCCGTTGTAAAAGTTGTCTCTATCGACGTAGTTGGTACTCCTGTTGTTGATTGTTCTGCAGTTGTTGAAATGACTTCAGAAGTGCTCGTTTGATATACAGTGGTAGTAGGATCTTCAGTTGATGTTGTTTTTTCTACTGTTGTTGTATCTGCTTCCGAGGTAGTAGTGGCCTGTTCCGTCGTTGTTTGTGTCCGTGTTGTTGTTTGTTCTGCAGTTGTTGAAAGGGCTTCAGCAGAAGTAGTTTGCTCTTCAGTGGTAGTAGGAGCTTCAGTTGACGTTGTTTGTTCTACTGTTGTTGTGACCACTTCTGTTGTAGCAGTGGTCTGTTCTGTCGTAGTTTGTGCCCCTGTTGTCGTCTGATCTGCAGTTGTTGAGAGAATTTCAGAAGTTTTTGTTTGCTCTGCAGTGGTTGTTGGAGCTTTAGTTGACGTTGTTTGTACTACAGTGGTTGTTACTTCTTTCGTTGTAGAAGTTGTCTCTATTGTCGGAGTTGGCGCTCCTGTTGTTGTTAGTTCTGCAGTTGTTGAAAGAGCTTCAGACGTAGTAGATTGCTCTACAGTTGTAGTAGGAGTTTCAGTTGAAGTCGTTTGTTCTATTGTTGTTGTGACTGCTTCTGGGGTAGTAGTGGCCTCTACCGTCGTAGTTGGTACTCCTGTTGTTGTTTGTTCTGCAGTTGTAGAAAGCGCTTCAGCAGTGCTCGTTTGATATGCAGTGGTAGTAGGAGCATCAGTTGACATTGTTTGTTTAATCGTTGTTGTGACTGCATCTTGGGTAGTAGTGGCCTCTACCGTCGTAGTTGGTACTCCTGTTGTTGTTTGTTCTGCAGTTGTAGAAAGCCTTTCAGAAGTGCTCGTTTGATATGCAGTGGTAGTAGGAGCATCAGTTGACGTTGTTTGTTCTATTGTTGTTGTGACTGCTTCTGGTGAAGTAGTGGCTTCTACTGTCGTAGTTGGTACTCCTGTTGTTGTTTGTTCTGCAGTTGTTGAAATGGCTTCAGAAGTGCTCGTTTCGTATGCAGTGGTAATAGGATCATCAGTTGATGTTGTTTTTTCTACTGTTGTTGTATCTGCTTCCGAGGTAGTAGTGGCCTGTTCCGTCGTTGTTTGTGTCCGTGTTGTAGTTTGTTCTGCAGTTGTTGAAAGGGCTTCAGCAGAAGTAGTTTTCTCTTCAGTGGTAGTAGGAGCTTCAGTTGACGTTGTTTTTTCTACTGTTGTTGTGACCACTTCTGTTGTAGCAGTGGCCTGTTCTGTCGTAGTTTCTGCCCCTGTTGTCGTCTCATCTGCAGTTGTTGAGAGAATTCCAGAAGTTGTTGTTTGCCCTGCAGTGGTTGTTGGAGCTTCAGTTGACGTTGTTTGTTCTACAGTAGTTGTTACTGCTTCCGTTGTAAAAGTTGTCTCTATCGACGTAGTTGGTACTCCTGTTGTTGATTGTTCTGCAGTTGTTGAAATGACTTCAGAAGTGCTCGTTTGATATACAGTGGTAGTAGGATCTTCAGTTGATGTTGTTTTTTCTACTGTTGTTGTATCTGCTTCCGAGGTAGTAGTGGCCTGTTCCGTCGTTGTTTGTGTCCGTGTTGTTGTTTGTTCTGCAGTTGTTGAAAGGGCTTCAGCAGAAGTAGTTTGCTCTTCAGTGGTAGTAGGAGCTTCAGTTGACGTTGTTTGTTCTACTGTTGTTGTGACCACTTCTGTTGTAGCAGTGGTCTGTTCTGTCGTAGTTTGTGCCCCTGTTGTCGTCTGATCTGCAGTTGTTGAGAGAATTTCAGAAGTTTTTGTTTGCTCTGCAGTGGTTGTTGGAGCTTTAGTTGACGTTGTTTGTACTACAGTGGTTGTTACTTCTTCCGTTGTAGAAGTTGTCTCTATTGTCGTAGTTGGCGCTCCTGTTGTTGTTAGTTCTGCAGTTGTTGAAAGAGCTTCAGACGTAGTAGATTGCTCTACAGTTGTAGTAGGAGTTTCAGTTGAAGTCGTTTGTTCTATTGTTGTTGTGACTGCTTCTGGGGTAGTAGTGGCCTCTACCGTCGTAGTTGGTACTCCTGTTGTTGTTTGTTCTGCAGTTGTAGAAAGCGCTTCAGCAGTGCTCGTTTGATATGCAGTGGTAGTAGGAGCATCAGTTGACATTGTTTGTTTAATCGTTGTTGTGACTGCATCTTGGGTAGTAGTGGCCTCTACCGTCGTAGTTGGTACTCCTGTTGTTGTTTGTTCTGCAGTTGTAGAAAGCCTTTCAGAAGTGCTCGTTTGATATGCAGTGGTAGTAGGAGCATCAGTTGACGTTGTTTGTTCTATTGTTGTTGTGACTGCTTCTGGTGAAGTAGTGGCTTCTACTGTCGTAGTTGGTACTCCTGTTGTTGTTTGTTCTGCAGTTGTTGAAATGGCTTCAGAAGTGCTCGTTTCGTATGCAGTGGTAATAGGATCATCAGTTGATGTTGTTTTTTCTACTGTTGTTGTATCTGCTTCCGAGGTAGTAGTGGCCTGTTCCGTCGTTGTTTGTGTCCGTGTTGTAGTTTGTTCTGCAGTTGTTGAAAGGGCTTCAGCAGAAGTAGTTTGCTCTTCAGTGGTAGTAGGAGCTTCAGTTGACGTTGTTTGTTCTACTGTTGTTGTGACCACTTCTGTTGTAGCAGTGGACTGTTCTGTCGTAGTTTGTGCCCCTGTTGTCGTCTGATCTGCAGTTGTTGAGCGAATTCCAGAAGTTGTTGTTTGCCCTGCAGTGGTTGTTGGAGCTTCAGTTGACCTTGTTTGTTCTACAGTAGTTGTTACTGCTTCCGTTGTAAAAGTTGTCTCTATCGACGTAGTTGGTACTCCTGTTGTTGATTGTTCTGCAGTTGTTGAAATGGCTTCAGAAGTGCTCGTTTGATATACAGTGGTAGTAGGATCTTCAGTTGACGTTGTTTTTTCTACTGTTGTTGTATCTGCTTCCGAGGTAGTAGTGGCCTGTTCCGTCGTTGTTTGTGTCCGTGTTGTTGTTTGTTCTGCAGTTGTTGAAAGGGCTTCAGCAGAAGTAGTTTGCTCTTCAGTGGTAGTAGGAGCTTCAGTTGACGTTGTTTGTTCTACAGTAGTTGTTACTGCTTCCGTTGTAAAAGTTGTCTCTATCGACGTAGTTGGTACTCCTGTTGTTGATTGTTCTGCAGTTGTTGAAATGACTTCAGAAGTGCTCGTTTGATATACAGTGGTAGTAGGATCTTCAGTTGATGTTGTTTTTTCTACTGTTGTTGTATCTGCTTCCGAGGTAGTAGTGGCCTGTTCCGTCGTTGTTTGTGTCCGTGTTGTTGTTTGTTCTGCAGTTGTTGAAAGGGCTTCAGCAGAAGTAGTTTGCTCTTCAGTGGTAGTAGGAGCTTCAGTTGACGTTGTTTGTTCTACTGTTGTTGTGACCACTTCTGTTGTAGCAGTGGTCTGTTCTGTCGTAGTTTGTGCCCCTGTTGTCGTCTGATCTGCAGTTGTTGAGAGAATTTCAGAAGTTTTTGTTTGCTCTGCAGTGGTTGTTGGAGCTTTAGTTGACGTTGTTTGTACTACAGTGGTTGTTACTTCTTCCGTTGTAGAAGTTGTCTCTATTGTCGTAGTTGGCTCTCCTGTTGTTGTTAGTTCTGCAGTTGTTGAAAGAGCTTCAGACGTAGTAGATTGCTCTACAGTTGTAGTAGGAGTTTCAGTTGAAGTCGTTTGTTCTATTGTTGTTGTGACTGCTTCTGGGGTAGTAGTGGCCTCTACCGTCGTAGTTGGTACTCCTGTTGTTGTTTGTTCTGCAGTTGTAGAAAGCGCTTCAGCAGTGCTCGTTTGATATGCAGTGGTAGTAGGAGCATCAGTTGACATTGTTTGTTTAATCGTTGTTGTGACTGCATCTTGGGTAGTAGTGGCCTCTACCGTCGTAGTTGGTACTCCTGTTGTTGTTTGTTCTGCAGTTGTAGAAAGCCTTTCAGAAGTGCTCGTTTGATATGCAGTGGTAGTAGGAGCATCAGTTGACGTTGTTTGTTCTATTGTTGTTGTGACTGCTTCTGGTGAAGTAGTGGCTTCTACTGTCGTAGTTGGTACTCCTGTTGTTGTTTGTTCTGCAGTTGTTGAAATGGCTTCAGAAGTGCTCGTTTCGTATGCAGTGGTAATAGGATCATCAGTTGATGTTGTTTTTTCTACTGTTGTTGTATCTGCTTCCGAGGTAGTAGTGGCCTGTTCCGTCGTTGTTTGTGTCCGTGTTGTAGTTTGTTCTGCAGTTGTTGAAAGGGCTTCAGCAGAAGTAGTTTGCTCTTCAGTGGTAGTAGGAGCTTCAGTTGACGTTGTTTGTTCTACTGTTGTTGTGACCACTTCTGTTGTAGCAGTGGCCTGTTCTGTCGTAGTTTGTGGCCCTGTTGTCGTCTGATCTGCAGTTGTTGAGAGAATTCCAGAAGTTGTTGTTTGCCCTGCAGTGGTTGTTGGAGCTTCAGTTGACGTTGTTTGTTCTACAGTAGTTGTTACTGCTTCCGTTGTAAAAGTTGTCTCTATCGACGTAGTTGGTACTCCTGTTGTTGATTGTTCTGCAGTTGTTGAAATGACTTCAGAAGTGCTCGTTTGATATACAGTGGTAGTAGGATCTTCAGTTGACGTTGTTTGTTCTACTGTTGTTGTGGCCACTTCTGTTGTAGCAGTGGCCTGTTCTGTCGTAGTTTGTGCCCCTGTTGTCGTCTGATCTGCAGTTGTTGAGAGAATTTCAGAAGTTTTTGTTTGCTCTGCAGTGGTTGTTGGAGCTTTAGTTGACGTTGTTTGTACTACAGTGGTTGTTACTTCTTCCGTTGTAGAAGTTGTCTCTATTGTCGTAGTTAGCGCTCCTGTTGTTGTTAGTTCTGCAGTTGTTGAAAGAGCTTCAGACGTAGTAGATTGCTCTACAGTTGTAATAGGAGTTTCAGTTGAAGTCGTTTGTTCTATTGTTGTTGTGACTGCTTCTGGGGTAGTAGTGGCCTCTACCGTCGTAGTTGGTACTCCTGTTGTTGTTTGTTCTGCAGTTGTAGAAAGCGCTTCAGCAGTGCTCGTTTGATATGCAGTGGTAGTAGGAGCATCAGTTGACATTGTTTGTTTAATCGTTGTTGTGACTGCATCTTGGGTAGTAGTGGCCTCTACCGTCGTAGTTGGTACTCCTGTTGTTGTTTGTTCTGCAGTTGTAGAAAGCCTTTCAGAAGTGCTCGTTTGATATGCAGTGGTAGAAGAAGCATCAGTTGACGTTGTTTGTTCTATTGTTGTTGTGACTGCTTCTGGTGAAGTAGTGGCTTCTACTGTCGTAGTTGGTACTCCTGTTGTTGTTTGTTCTGCAGTTGTTGAAATGGCTTCAGAAGTGCTCGTTTCGTATGCAGTGGTAATAGGATCATCAGTTGATGTTGTTTTTTCTACTGTTGTTGTATCTGCTTTCGAGGTAGTAGTGGCCTGTTCCGTCGTTGTTTGTGTCCGTGTTGTAGTTTGTTCTGCAGTTGTTGAAAGGGCTTCAGCAGAAGTAGTTTGCTCTTCAGTGGTAGTAGGAGCTTCAGTTGACGTTGTTTGTTCTACTGTTGTTGTGACCACTTCTGTTGTAGCAGTGGCCTGTTCTGTCGTAGTTTCTGCCCCTGTTGTCGTCTCATCTGCAGTTGTTGAGAGAATTCCAGAAGTTGTTGTTTGCCCTGCAGTGGTTGTTGGAGCTTCAGTTGACGTTGTTTGTTCTACAGTAGTTGTTACTGCTTCCGTTGTAAAAGTTGTCTCTATCGACGTAGTTGGTACTCCTGTTGTTGATTGTTCTGCAGTTGTTGAAATGACTTCAGAAGTGCTCGTTTGATATACAGTGGTAGTAGGATCTTCAGTTGATGTTGTTTTTTCTACTGTTGTTGTATCTGCTTCCGAGGTAGTAGTGGCCTGTTCCGTCGTTGTTTGTGTCCGTGTTGTTGTTTGTTCTGCAGTTGTTGAAAGGGCTTCAGCAGAAGTAGTTTGCTCTTCAGTGGTAGTAGGAGCTTCAGTTGACGTTGTTTGTTCTACTGTTGTTGTGACCACTTCTGTTGTAGCAGTGGTCTGTTCTGTCGTAGTTTGTGCCCCTGTTGTCGTCTGATCTGCAGTTGTTGAGAGAATTTCAGAAGTTTTTGTTTGCTCTGCAGTGGTTGTTGGAGCTTTAGTTGACGTTGTTTGTACTACAGTGGTTGTTACTTCTTCCGTTGTAGAAGTTGTCTCTATTGTCGTAGTTGGCGCTCCTGTTGTTGTTAGTTCTGCAGTTGTTGAAAGAGCTTCAGACGTAGTAGATTGCTCTACAGTTGTAGTAGGAGTTTCAGTTGAAGTCGTTTGTTCTATTGTTGTTGTGACTGCTTCTGGGGTAGTAGTGGCCTCTACCGTCGTAGTTGGTACTCCTGTTGTTGTTTGTTCTGCAGTTGTAGAAAGCGCTTCAGCAGTGCTCGTTTGATATGCAGTGGTAGTAGGAGCATCAGTTGACATTGTTTGTTTAATCGTTGTTGTGACTGCATCTTGGGTAGTAGTGGCCTCTACCGTCGTAGTTGGTACTCCTGTTGTTGTTTGTTCTGCAGTTGTAGAAAGCCTTTCAGAAGTGCTCGTTTGATATGCAGTGGTAGTAGGAGCATCAGTTGACGTTGTTTGTTCTATTGTTGTTGTGACTGCTTCTGGTGAAGTAGTGGCTTCTACTGTCGTAGTTGGTACTCCTGTTGTTGTTTGTTCTGCAGTTGTTGAAATGGCTTCAGAAGTGCTCGTTTCGTATGCAGTGGTAATAGGATCATCAGTTGATGTTGTTTTTTCTACTGTTGTTGTATCTGCTTCCGAGGTAGTAGTGGCCTGTTCCGTCGTTGTTTGTGTCCGTGTTGTAGTTTGTTCTGCAGTTGTTGAAAGGGCTTCAGCAGAAGTAGTTTGCTCTTCAGTGGTAGTAGGAGCTTCAGTTGACGTTGTTTGTTCTACTGTTGTTGTGACCACTTCTGTTGTAGCAGTGGACTGTTCTGTCGTAGTTTGTGCCCCTGTTGTCGTCTGATCTGCAGTTGTTGAGCGAATTCCAGAAGTTGTTGTTTGCCCTGCAGTGGTTGTTGGAGCTTCAGTTGACCTTGTTTGTTCTACAGTAGTTGTTACTGCTTCCGTTGTAAAAGTTGTCTCTATCGACGTAGTTGGTACTCCTGTTGTTGATTGTTCTGCAGTTGTTGAAATGGCTTCAGAAGTGCTCGTTTGATATACAGTGGTAGTAGGATCTTCAGTTGACGTTGTTTGTTCTACTGTTGTTGTGGCCACTTCTGTTGTAGCAGTGGCCTGTTCTGTCGTAGTTTGTGCCCCTGTTGTCGTCTGATGTGCAGTTGTTGAGAGAATTCCAGAAGTTGTTGTTTGCCCTGCAGTGGTTGTTGGAGCTTCAGTTGACGTTGTTTGTTCTACAGTAGTTGTTACTGCTTCCGTTGTAAAAGTTGTCTCTATCGACGTAGTTGGTACTCCTGTTGTTGATTGTTCTGCAGTTGTTGAAATGACTTCAGAAGTGCTCGTTTGATATACAGTGGTAGTAGGATCTTCAGTTGACGTTGTTTGTTCTACTGTTGTTGTGACCACTTCTGTTGTAGCAGTGGACTGTTCTGTCGTAGTTTGTGCCCCTGTTGTCGTCTGATCTGCAGTTGTTGAGCGAATTTCAGAAGTTGTTGTTTGCCCTGCAGTGGTTGTTGGAGCTTCAGTTGACCTTGTTTGTTCTACAGTAGTTGTTACTGCTTCCGTTGTAAAAGTTGTCTCTATCGACGTAGTTGGTACTCCTGTTGTTGATTGTTCTGCAGTTGTTGAAATGGCTTCAGAAGTGCTCGTTTGATATACAGTGGTAGTAGGATCTTCAGTTGACGTTGTTTGTTCTACTGTTGTTGTGGCCACTTCTGTTGTAGCAGTGGCCTGTTCTGTCGTAGTTTCTGCCCCTGTTGTCGTCTCATCTGCAGTTGTTGAGAGAATTCCAGAAGTTGTTGTTTGCCCTGCAGTGGTTGTTGGAGCTTCAGTTGACGTTGTTTGTTCTACAGTAGTTGTTACTGCTTCCGTTGTAAAAGTTGTCTCTATCGACGTAGTTGGTACTCCTGTTGTTGATTGTTCTGCAGTTGTTGAAATGACTTCAGAAGTGCTCGTTTGATATACAGTGGTAGTAGGATCTTCAGTTGATGTTGTTTTTTCTACTGTTGTTGTATCTGCTTCCGAGGTAGTAGTGGCCTGTTCCGTCGTTGTTTGTGTCCGTGTTGTAGTTTGTTCTGCAGTTGTTGAAAGGGCTTCAGCAGAAGTAGTTTGCTCTTCAGTGGTAGTAGGAGCTTCAGTTGACGTTGTTTGTTCTACTGTTGTTGTGACCACTTCTGTTGTAGCAGTGGACTGTTCTGTCGTAGTTTGTGCCCCTGTTGTCGTCTGATCTGCAGTTGTTGAGCGAATTCCAGAAGTTGTTGTTTGCCCTGCAGTGGTTGTTGGAGCTTCAGTTGACCTTGTTTGTTCTACAGTAGTTGTTACTGCTTCCGTTGTAAAAGTTGTCTCTATCGACGTAGTTGGTACTCCTGTTGTTGATTGTTCTGCAGTTGTTGAAATGGCTTCAGAAGTGCTCGTTTGATATACAGTGGTAGTAGGATCTTCAGTTGACGTTGTTTGTTCTACTGTTGTTGTGGCCACTTCTGTTGTAGCAGTGGCCTGTTCTGTCGTAGTTTCTGCCCCTGTTGTCGTCTCATCTGCAGTTGTTGAGAGAATTCCAGAAGTTGTTGTTTGCCCTGCAGTGGTTGTTGGAGCTTCAGTTGACCTTGTTTGTTCTACAGTAGTTGTTACTGCTTCCGTTGTAAAAGTTGTCTCTATCGACGTAGTTGGTACTCCTGTTGTTGATTGTTCTGCAGTTGTTGAAATGACTTCAGAAGTGCTCGTTTGATATACAGTGGTAGTAGGATCTTCAGTTGATGTTGTTTTTTCTACTGTTGTTGTATCTGCTTCCGAGGTAGTAGTGGCCTGTTCCGTCGTTGTTTGTGTCCGTGTTGTTGTTTTTTCTGCAGTTGTTGAAAGGGCTTCAGGAGAAGTAGTTTGCTCTTCAGTGGTAGTAGGAGCTTCAGTTGACGTTGTTTGTTCTACTGTTGTTGTGACCACTTCTGTTGTAGCAGTGGCCTGTTCTGTCGTAGTTTGTGCCTCTGTTGTCGTCTGATCTTCAGTTGTTGAGAGAATTTCAGAAGATGTTGTTTGCTCTGCAGTGGTTGTTGGAGTTTCAGTTGACGTTGTTTGTTCTACAGTGGTTGTTACTTCTTCCGTTGTAGAAGTTGTCTCTATTGTCGTAGTTGGCGCTCCTGTTGTTGTTTGTTCTCCAGTTGTTGAAAGAGCTTCAGACGTAGTAGATTGCTCTACAGTTGAAGTAGTAGTTGCAGTTGAAGTCGTTTGTTCTATTGTTGTTGTGACTGCTTCTGGGGTAGTAGTGGTCTCTACCGTCGTAGCTGGCGTTCCTGTTGTTGTTTGTTCTGCAGTTGTAGAAAGCGCTTCAGCAGTGCTCGTTTGATATGCAGTGGTAGTAGGAGCATCAGTTGACATTGTTTGTTTAATCGTTGTTGTGACTGCATCTTGGGTAGTAGTGGCCTCTACCGTCGTAGTTGGTACTCCTGTTGTTGTTTGTTCTGCAGTCGTTGAAATGCCTTCAGAAGTGCTTGTTTTGTATGCAGTGGTAGTAGGAGCATCAGTTGACGTTGTTTGTTCTATTGTAGTTGTATCTGCTTCCGACGTTGTTGTTACTGCTTCCGTTGTAGAAGTTGCCTCTTTCGTCGTAGTTGGCGTTCCTGTTGTTGTTTGTTCTGCAGTTGTTGAAAGCGCTTCAGAAGTAGTAGCTTGCTCTACAGTGGTAGTAGGAGTTTCAGTTGAAGTCGTTTGTTCTATTGTTGTTGTGACTGCCTCTGGGGTAGTAGTGGTCTTTACTGTCGTAGTTTGTACTCCTGTTGTTGTTTGTTCTGCAGTTGAAGAAAGCGCTTCAGAAGTGCTCGTTTGATATGCAGTGGTAGTAGGAGCATCAGTTGACGTTGTTTGTTCTAATGTTGTTGTGACTGCTTCTGGGGAAGTAGTGGCCTTTACCGTCGTAGTTGGTACTCCTGTTGTTGTTTGTTCTGCAGTTGTTGAAATGGCTTCAGAAGTGCTCGTTTTGTATGCAGTGGTAATAGGATCATCAGTTGATGTTGTTTTTTCTACTGTTGTTGTATCTGCTTCCGAGGTAGTAGTGGCCTGTTCCGTCGTTGTTTGTGCCCGTGTTGTAGTTTGTTCTGCAGTTGTTGAAAGGGCTTCAGCAGAAGTAGTTTGCTCTTCAGTGGTAGTAGGAGCTTCAGTTGACGTTGTTTGTTCTACTGTTGTTGTGACCACTTCTGTTGTAGCAGTGGCCTGTTCTGTCGTAGTTTGTGCTCCTGTTGTCGTCTGATCTGCAGTTGTTGAGAGAATTCCAGAAGTTGTTGTTTGCCCTGCAGTGGTTGTTGGAGCTTCAGTTGACCTTGTTTGTTCTACAGTAGTTGTTACTGCTTCCGTTGTAAAAGTTGTCTCTATCGACGTAGTTGGTACTCCTGTTGTTGATTGTTCTGCAGTTGTTGAAATGGCGTCAGAAGTGCTCGTTTGATATACAGTGGTAGAATGATCTTCAGTTGACGTTGTTTGTTCTACTGTTGTTGTGGCCACTTCTGTTGTAGCAGTGGCCTGTTCTGTCGTAGTTTGTGCCCCTGTTGTCGTCTGATCTGCAGTTGTTGAGAGAATTTCAGAAGTTTTTGTTTGCTCTGCAGTGGTTGTTGGAGCTTTAGTTGACGTTGTTTGTACTACAGTGGTTGTTACTTCTTCCGTTGTAGAAGTTGTCTCTATTGTCGTAGTTGGCGCTCCTGTTGTTGTTAGTTCTGCAGTTGTTGAAAGCGCTTCAGACGTAGTAGATTGCTCAAAAGTTGTAGTAGGAGTTTCAGTTGAAGTCGTTTGTTCTATTGTTGTTGTGACTGCTTCTGGGGTAGTAGTGGCCTCTACCGTCGTAGTTGGTACTCCTGTTGTTGTTTGTTCTGCAGTTGTAGAAAGCGCTTCAGCAGTGCTCGTTTGATATGCAGTGGTAGTAGAAGCATCAGTTGACATTGTTTGTTTAATCGTTGTTGTGACTGCATCTTGGGTAGTAGTGGCCTCTACCGTCGTAGTTGGTACTCCTGTTGTTGTTTGTTCTGCAGTTGTTGAAATGCCTTCAGAAGTGCTTGTTTTGTATGCAGTGGTAGTAGGAGCATCGGTTGACGTTGTTTGTTCTATTGTAGTTGTATCTGCTTCCGACGTTGTTGTTACTGCTTCCGTTGTAGAAGTTGCCTCTTTCGTCGTAGTTGGCGTTCCTGTTGTTGTTTGTTCTGCAGTTGTTGAAAGCGCTTCAGAAGTAGTAGCTTGCTCTACAGTAGTAGTAGGAGTTTCAGTTGAAGTCGTTTGTTCTATTGTTGTTGTGACTGCTTCTGGGGTAGTAGTGGTCTTTACTGTCGTAGTTTGTACTCCTGTTGTTGTTTGTTTTGCAGTTGAAGAAAGCGCTTCAGAAGTGCTCGTTTGATATGCAGTGGTAGTAGGAGCATCAGTTGATGTTGTTTTTTCTACTGTTGTTGTTACTGCTTCCGTTGTAAAAGTTGTCTCTATCGACGTAGTTGGTACTCCTGTTGTTGATTGTTCTGCAGTTGTTGAAATGGCTTCAGAAGTGCTCGTTTGATATACAGTGGTAGTAGGATCTTCAGTTGACGTTGTTTGTTCTATTGTTGTTGTGACTGCTTCTGGGGAAGTAGTGGCCTCTGCCGTCGTAGTTGGTACTCCTGTTGTTGTTTGTTCTGCAGTTGTTGAAATGGCTTCAGAAGTGCTTGTTTTGTATGCAGTGGTAGAAGGAGCATCAGTTGATGTTGTTTTTTCTACTGTTGTTGTATCTGCTTCCGATATAGTAGTGGCCTGTTCCGTCGTAGTTTGTTTACTTGTTGTAGTTTGTTCTGCAGTTGTTGAAAGGGCTTCAGAAGAAGTAGTTTGCTCTTCAGTGGTAGTAGGAGCTTCAGTTGACGTTGTTTGTTCTACTGTTGTTGTGACCACTTCTGTTGTAGCAGTGGCCTGTTCTGTCGTAGTTTGTGCCCCTGTTCTCGTCTGATCTGCAGTTGTTGAGAGAATTCCAGAAGTGGTTGTTTGCTCTGCAGTGGTTGTTGGAGCTTCAGTTAACGTTGTTTGTTCTACAGTAGTTGTTACTGCTTCCGTTGTAGAAGTTTTCTCTATCGACGTAGTTGGCGCTTCTGTTGTTGTTTGTTCTGCAGTTGTTGAAAGCGCTTCAGACGTAGTAGCTTGCTCTACAGTTGAAGTAGGAGTTTCAGTTGAAGTCGTTTGTTCTATTGTTGTTGTGACTGCTTCTGGGGTAGCAGTGGCCTCTACCGTCGTAGTTAGTACTCCTGTTGTTGATTGTTCTGTAGTTGTTGAAATGGCTTCAGAAGTGCTCGTTTGGTATGCAGTGGTAGTAGGAGCATCAGTTGACGTTATTTGTTCTATTGTTGTTGTGACTGCTTCTGGTGAAGTAGTGTTTTCTCCTGTCGTAGTGGTGGTAGTTATTTTTTTTGTTGTACTGGTATTATGTGCTGTGAAAAGAAGAGAGTTCTTGTTAATTGTTGTTAAATTTTAAAACGAGAAAAAGAAACAATTCATGAAAAATAAATTAAAAACGCATACAAAACTGACCGTACGGTATGGAATTGGCTCATTAAAAAAGGTTGTACTGTAGTGTTAACTATCTATAAAATTTTAACTTTCCGTGAGATGAATGGTAAATAATTATATGTCTAATTGACTTTTTGTTACCCTACCCGGACTCATTTTTTTGCCTCCAAGCCAATCGTTCCTTGCTCTTACTCCTTAATGGAGCGTGCTTAAATGAGTAAGTCATGAGCAACAAATACCAATTTAAAAATATGTGGTTTGATTTGGCCTTGTTTCGAACCCACGACCTCCTGAACTCGAGGCGAGCACGCAACCACGAGACCACCGAGGCGGTCTCTGTCTGTATAAAACATACCGTCCTTTAAATTATTAATTTATTAGTTCAGATCGTTGTGCATCTTATTACAGAATTAAATGCTGTTTTTTTTTTAATTCATTCAAAATGAAAGCAAGTGATCAATCACATTATGTATGGAGGTCAGAGGCGCATTTTGCTAAACATATAACTCGTCACTTAAATTATTTCGAATATTTGTTTTAAAAACACTATCAATTCTTTAATTTACAGAATCTTTGAAACAAAACATATATGTTATTAACATTTTGAATCTGAAAATACAGCAGCCAATTTAAAATCAATATCTGTTTGAATTGAACACTTACTGTTAATATAAGACTTTGAAATACTCATAATGGATTATTATTCTCTTTCGTGTTATATAATTACCTTCAGAAACGAAAATTGTTAAAAACAAAAATAAAGACATCAGACTCCATACTTGGATCCGATCCTGAAAAAAAAAACAACATAAATTAGAAACCGTATATTTTCTTTTTGATAAACTGTTAAAATTTTGTACTGTTACAACAACGACAATATCATTCAGGTACCCGTAACTTTGTTTGTACGATAATCAAGTTCGTTGAACGTTAAATTGACGAACTTATGGGACGATCAAATTTACTGACTAACATCGTAAGCTTTAAATGTATTCTTTTTGTTTTTGTTTTACCAAATATACGTTTGCTGTAAAGCAATTATATTTCTTCCTTTGATATATAATGAAAGGCTATTGCTATGGTGGCCATTTCTCGTTTTCGCGTCTTAGCGAAGGCGAAAACGCGAAGGCAAAAACGCAAAAACGCGAAAACGAGTGCGTTTTCTCCCTATAGAATATGAAAGGCGAAAAGGCAAAAAAGCGAAATGGCCTTATCCGGCCACCTTATATAACGCATATTCTTGAGTTGAGTGTAAGTTCCCAGTTGATAAATTGTGTAATTTTTGAAATTACAAGGCTTTACTCCTTCGTACAAAGTTAACTAGAGGACGTGTTCGGCTATACTTTTATCCCCATTTCGAATGCATTGTTTCAGACGATCTTGCCATATTTTTTGTCCGTTTTTTAAATTGTGTTCCGTTTGAAAAATATTTCAGAAAAGGCGTTTCGGAATGCAGCGCAGCCAATTCAGTGTGTTTTAGTTTGATTTTATATCGACTGAACATGGAAATCAAAATATTACTGAGGTTCTCCGATTTTATTGTTTTACTTTTTTATATTATATATAGTGTTCAATTTCTATTTAAAAAATGGTCTTTTTCTTTTCTTTTTTTTTTTGCCATGGCGTTGTCAGTTTATTTTCGACTTGTGAGTTTGAATGTCCCTTTGGTATCTTTCGCCTCTCTTCTTAGATTCAGTATTAATTCAAAATCAAATAAGTAAATAAGGATATATCTACAAAATAAGCTCAGAATTGAAACTTTAAACGTTCGAAGGTAAAAAACGGTCAATAGGTGCAATGTTGGTACTCTCACACGTTATGTCTACGATTTTACTGCAACCTTGTTATTTCAGTCAATCATAGATAATTCTGTTTTCTGTCCTTTAATAATGGATTGGCGTTTCTTTTATAGTAGGTGAGAAATTGATTATAATCTCTATGTTATACCTTATAATAGAAATCTCCCATCAATGTCCCTTTTCTTTTACTTCGAAATACATGAGAACGTCGTGTACTTTATCACGAAGACATTCTTTAGTAAAAGATATATGATCCTTTGTCTGTGTAATTTTTTGTTGATTCTGAAAAAATAAGTTATGCACTAGATTATTTGGTGCATATAGGACAAAAAAAATCACGGACAAAATCGGGAAGCTGTAAATATTTCATTGCTGATTATCAACAAATTGATTATGACAGTCGTATTCCTGACTTGAACATATTTAACTCCGCCACATCTACTTATTTTTCATATTGGTTCAATCATGATAAAATTTACGTAAAATCCCTTGTAAATATGTAATTTTAAACATAAAGAATATATCTGATTATAATTATTATTTTAAAATAACATATGAGATATCAATCTATCAATCTATTATTCAGTTATTCATTAATATCACTTCATTTTTTAAAAGACAATCAACATTGAAGCAACCATAAAAATCCAATAAACATGAATCAATAATACATAAAAATGATAACAAGAATCACCAAAAATACTGGACTGTGTTTGAGCAGTTGTGACGGAGTTTGTGTTTTCCAAGAAAGTCGCTGTATTGGACAGAAGCTCTTGGACAGTGGACTTGCTATGATATGTACACATATCACATGAATGTAATGAAGGTATGGTGCAGGAAAATTCGCAAACTGATATTGTCACGTTTGTCATAAAGTCTTATGTATACATATATATTTTTTATATTTTTTTTTTTACATATATGAATAAAAGGAAACCATCACGAAAAATTACCACAACGTCATAGCGTTATACCTTTATGTAGAATGCTAATCTCTGACTATTTCAATAGGAAAGTTGTTTGTAAGTGTAAATCATTCGTAATATTTCTTCCTTTCGAATACAAATCTTACTTGAAATTGATATAGATAAAATTGGAAACACAATTTTTCAAATGAATATCTGCAGGACTCAATACGAAGAAATATATCTTATTAATTCTTATGTCAATTTCAGAAAATCAAAATCTGTAAATATTTGAAATCAGATCTAGGAACTTCTCTGTCAAATTTCATTTTTTTTATTATAAAAAAAGACCACAGCTAGCATGTGAAACCAAAAATTCAAACATACATGTATATATTAATAATATTTATCGGTTATTGATCATGAAGCAACTCAGGGGATGCAAGTTAGCTGTCCATGGAAGGAAAGTTTACACTGGAAAATAGAAATAAACGAATTAATATCTAGTGACATGCAGTATATATATATAAATAGAACTTCAACTCATGGTATAGCCTCGGTACGATCGACACAATCTAACATATGTACTGCTTTCCATAATGTTCTCGGGTCCGATTTGGTGGTGTTATATTTCACAAAGTCTTTCCGAATCAATTTACAAAAAAAATCTGCTCAAACCGGTGCTAAGGGCCGTCTTAAACTTGCAGTGAGGTGAGTTTTTTTTCCGTGTTGAAGGCCTCATTGTGACTTTGAGATGAAGAACAGCAATAAAAGCGCTGTTCCTTTTTGTTTTTGTGTGTTTTTGCTGTGCATGTACTGATTTTGTGTCAGTGATGGATACCCCATTTCCTTTTCTATTAAAGGATAGATCTATAGAATATACTAGTATACCGGTACATGTATAGATTTGCAATGCATATTGTTGTCATTTTAATGATAATATTCATCTTTTTCATGTTATCATGCTTTACCCCAAAGCCACATATAAGTTCAATCATATTGAAATGACAATAGTGTTTTTGCTCCGTCTTAAGACCTCACTGTGACATTGTGATGAATAACAGCAATAAAAGCGCTGTTCCTTTGCTTTTTGTGTTTTTTTGGTGTGCATGTACTGATTTTGTGTCATGGATGGATACCCAATATCCTTTTTTTTCTATAAAACCTCTTATTTATCGCTTGTAATAACATTAACGGTACCAATATTACCGCACCAGATGCTCATTTCGACAATAAATGTCTTATTTACGTCGAAGTGCCGATCAAACCAAAATGGATCAAAAAGTATAACCGAACATGGACAAATATCCAGTTACGTAATTATGCAATTCAGAATGCTAAAATTAGAACGATTATATGAAATAGGTAAATACTTGTATATTCATGTACACACATCTTTCATTTGTTTGCAATAATACTGGTAATCTACATTTATGCAAGTTATCAATGTCAAAATGTCAAAACTACAAAATGTGTAAAATCATATAGATTATTCTTTCTATCGTGTATAAATAATTTTTCAAAAAAAGTGTAGCTTGAATGTAATGTAATTAGATCACGTCCATGGAATGCAACCTTCAAAATCCTCGAACATAACATATCATATTCATCATTATCTCATTTCAAAATTTAGCCGAGTCATATATAAAGTCTAGTGTTGTCAACTGTTCGGAAGGACCGAATATCGAATACCAAAAACGCTAACCGGTTAACCGGACCTTTTTTCAATTTCAATAGATTTGATACAAACGTGTATTGAAATCATCAATAAATTTTGTTCAATTTTAAAATGATCGTCGTGGTAATTAGTTTGCCAGATCAATTGTCCAGTTTTTTTTTATTGCTGCTGTTAACTTTGAAAACATAAAATCAATTAGCACAAAGACAACTTGTCTTTCAGCTCGGGGCAAGATCTTAAGTAAACACAATAAGCATACATGTATTTTGGGTTGTAGGCCGATTAAATTCTACGATTTACTTAATTTTTTTCGTTTTTGATTACATATTGGGTAGACCTACATCTAAATATGCCACCTCCATCGTCCAAGGCTTTGTCATACTTTAAACGAAATGCCGACTCAAAAATGGTGAAATGAAAATCAACGTGAATGGAATGTATATACAGGTTGGTTCGAGTAATACGCTTAATCATCTCAAATTGCAACACTCCATTCTATTTTCAGCGACATTAGAGAAAATGAAACAATCAACGGTTTCAGACCTTGTCAATTCGACGAGATCAAGAAGATTTTCAATTTCTCAATCTGAAGTTATTACAAACGTAATAGTAGATACGGTAGTGTTGGATTTTTAAAAGTAAAACTTCACCAGGAATGCTCAAAGCCAAGCCTTATAATGCCCAACGATAAACTTCAATTTATCGCATCATAAAAACGTACATGTGCAGGGTACTATGATAGATAAGGCCTTTGAACATCAACTTAACCACCGGTTAACCGGTTAATCGACCGAAAGGTTATCCGAATACTTGGTTCGGCAAAACTGTTCGATTTGACAACACTAATAAAGTCTTATATGTCACGATTTCTTTTATATTTATCAACTGAAATTTTGTTAGATTAGAAAAGAGTAGGGCCAATTTCTCCTGCATTTGTTTCATTCGTAGGTTCAACAAACCCTACTTGAAAAGTCTTAAAATATTGTTTCTCCGTAAAAATCAAAAGGTTATTCATTGCTTCATGTTGCGTTTGAATGCATTTTAATAAGAAATTGCTAATTTTACTGTTTTTGTCAAATTTTGCATTGAAGGATATGACTAGCTAAAATGAATAAACTATCCGAAAGACAATACATAGCTATACATCCAACATAATTTTGGGTTTGGTTATCGCTGTCTTTCTTATACATTTTTGGGATGTCTACTAAAACTTTTCCAAAATCTCTCAATATTGCAGTCTTGGGCTGCTATCTTTATGCGTTTATAGTTAGACGATCTGTTTAGAATTAGCCATAATATTGTTAAAACCATAAAATACAGACTTTGGGCGGTGATTCTGTGATTGAAAAAATTCTTTGAAAATGACCCTGATGTGAAATAAATACAAGAAAATTGGCCTTTCTTCAAACTTACTACATTAATAATATCATTGCTGTACTTGTGATTCCAGTTACAATGTCATTGCAGTACTTGTGGGTGCAATTACAATGTCATTGATGTACTTGTGATTCCAATTACAATATCATTGCTGTACTTGTAAGTCAAATTACAATGGCATCGATGTACTTGTAAGTCCAGTTACAAGGTCATTGATGTACTTGTAAGTCCAGTTACAATGTCATTGCTGTAAAAAGTAAAATAACAAAAATACGGAACTCCAAGGAAAATTCAAAACAGAAAGTCCCTCATCAAATGGCAAAATCAAAAGCTCAAACACATCAAACGAACGGAAAACAACTCTCATATTCCTGACTTGCTACAATCATTTCCTTATGTAGAAAATAGTGGATTAAAAATGTTTTATAGCTAGCTAAACTTCTCACTTGTATGACAGTCGCATAAAGTTACATTATATTGACAACAATGTGTGAACAAAACAAACAGACATAATAGGTAAATAATACAATAACACAATGGCGGGATGTTTAAGTACCGAGCCACACCAAAAGGATATTACTAAAGATGGACTAAACAGTAAAGGTTAATAATTTACAAAGACGAATAAAAGAACACTCTAACACGTAATTAAGATAATAAATAACGTCAGTACTTAGAATCTATACGTGAAGACCATCATGTATTATTTGTGAAATTGATATGGAATATTTATCAACAAGGTCTCAAATTGGTATCTTCCGATGAACTTTTTTTTAAAAAGGACGAGACGTTCTTTGACATAAGCCTGGTTCATCAACTTTCTGCTCAGACACTGGTGACGTTTTAGTCTGAGTAATAGCTGCAAGCTCTTGAATACCGAATGAGTTGGGAAATATATATCCCATATGCAGGTTAAATGATATATTGCTATTAAGGTGAGGGAAATAGATATTTCAAAATTAAAATCGTCTCGTTTGTCATAGATTCTGGTCTTGAGATGACCACTTATGTCAAATTCGAGGTGTAAGTCTAAAAATGAGGCGAAGGAAGCCGTGTCTGTTGTTTCGTTAATTTCTATTTCTGGAGGATATATTAATGGAACCCAATCAGAAAAGTTTGGATTATTAATGGAAAGAACATCATCAATATATATATGAATGCGAAATTAAATGATCTGGCTTCTTTGATCTTCTTGTTTTTGACAAGTGTCTGAACTCTGAAGGAACTCCGACTCATATGAAAACTAGAAGAGGTCGACAAGGAGAGGCGCACAGTTCATTCCCATAGGAATGCCGACAATTTGTTGAGAAAGTCTACCTCCA